CTCGCCATCATATATCCCTTTTAAACAGTTCTCTCCCTCATGTGTTTCAGTGCAATTTATCCCTTCTTACTCAGTCTCCCCCCAACCCCTATGTCTCTTTTATAACAGTGGCATTATGCAGCATTTGTCCTTTTGTGACTGAGATACTTCACTCAGCATGTCTTCCAGGGTCACCCATTTAGTATAATATTTCATGAGTTTCTTGTTTTCAATGCAGCGTAGTATTCCATTGTGTGAATATACTCCACTTTCTCTATTTGTTTGTTGATGGGCACTTGGGTTGTTTCCAGCTCTTTGCTATTGTGAGCAAAGCTGCAATAAACATGAGTGTGCATATATCTGCTTGGGTGGCAGTTATGGTTTCTTTAGGATATATTCCCAGTACTGGAATTGCTGGGTCAAATGGTATTTCTATCTCCACCTTTTTGAGAAAGCTCCATACCGCCTTCCACAGTGGTTGCACCACTTTTCACTCCCACCAATAGTGAGTAAGGGTTCCAGTTTCTCCACAACCTCGCCAGCATCTCCCACCAATAGTGTGAGTAAGGGTTCCAGTTTCTCCACAACCTTGCCAGCATTTGTTGTTTGCTGTTCTGTTAAATTTTGCTGTTCTTACTGGGGTGAGATGATATCTCATAGTTGTTTTGTATAACTGTTGTCTTGTGACTGACTTTGTTACTCAGTATAATTTGTTCTGGATTGATCATGGTGTATGACTTTTCATTTCTTGACTGCTGCTAGCAGAGGTATGGATTGTGAATGGAAGTTAAAAGAAATCCTGGACTTTACCCCCCCATGCACTGTGATGTTACTTGCTGATACAGTTAAGAAGATTTTTGTTTTCTTAATGTGTAGATGTAATCCATATTGAAGTCTTTGATCTTTAGCAAGTGTTTCAGTAGATAGATAAAGAGTTTAAAAATATATTATAAATCCATGGTGCACCTACTAGATTTGGGGAGTTTATGTTGAAAAATTACTGCTTGGAAGTTGAAATTATTAACCTTTATAACCGATACTTTAAAAAATTGAAAAACCCATCAGTATTTACATGCTCACACACACGTTGTCATCAATTATGACGGTAACCTGAAACTATAATGGCAGAATGTGTCACTAAGTCGAAGGGTTAGTGAAACCCATCAGCTGCTCTTTGGAAGAAAGATGGGCACTCTTCTCCTGTAAGGATTTATGGCCTCAGAAATTCGAGGGAGAGGTCCTGTGTGTCAGAATTAACTCATTGCTGTGGAGTTGAAATGACTCATAGCTAATCCCTTAGCAGTTTCCCAAAGTTGTGAATCATACAGGAGGAAATTGCCCGTCTTCCTCCCTCAGAACTGCCGGTGGATTTGAACCGACAGAGTCCTCAGTTAGGTCAGCAGTGCAACCCTCCATGGACTGTGCTGTCAGAGACCTCTTGACTTGAAGCCTCTGGTTTGATTTGATTTCTTACAATACTAGAGTCATTAAGGATTGGAACTTGGAATTCCCTTTTAAGCCTCAGATGCATTTTTGGCATATTTTTGAGGACCTTGAATTCAAATTTGTTTTAGAGTCATATTTATTGAGGTGCCGTAAAAGGGTGAAGAGGCTTCTACCATTTTGGTTATCTTTTAAAGTACATTTTATAGACCGTCCCAGAAGTTACTTTTGAAATAGGAACTTAAAAGTATTTTGATCAAAGAGCTTTAAAATAACCTAATTTATACGGGTCTCATGTCCTCAACTACATTACGAGTTCATTGAGCTTAGGTCTCTGCTGTGTGTTTCTCTTTGGTATACATATTTTTTATCAGGTACACATATTTTTAAAGTATATTGGGTACACCTCAACTGGTTTGAAGAGTCTCATTTGATACTGTTTTCTCATTTGCGACTATTTTCCCATTTGAGTCTTAAAAAAATACTGAGTTTATTTATATGGTGAACACTTGACTTGGATACATGTTGGGCTGTTAACTGAAAAGTTGGCAGTTCAGACCCACCAGCTGCTCTATCGTGGAAAGACAGGCAGTCTCCCTGCATTATGATTTACAGGCTCAGAAGGCCGCTGGGGGCTACCATGAGTCAGGATGGACGTGACAGCAGTGTGTCATGTTCGGTTTAAATGGGAAGTATAATAAAGATGACAAACTGGTCTCTCCCTCAAGGAGTTTGTAGTCCTATGGGATCTGTAGGTTCCCACATACAGTTGAAGTTGGTAACTGCTGTGAAGGAGACACGAATTCTGTGCTGGGGGACTTGGAGGGGGAGCAGATAGAGGTCACTGGTGAGGCCTGGAGAAGCTTCTGCCAGTCAGTGAATGCCTGAGTTTGCCCTTGACTGAGGTTTCAGCAGATGAAGATAACTAGCCTTGCAGAGGGCGTTCCAGGCTGCGTCGCCATCCTAAACCAAAGGCAGGAAGGAGTGAGAGCTTTGCTGTGGTCTCTGGGGAGTTTGTCTCAGCTGTTCATTTACAAGCAGTTGTGACTCACAGGTAACTTTCTTGACCAATAGCTTAGGAGCGCTTTTAAACTTTAGAATTTCCTAGAGAACAAAACCACTGACATTGAGTCCCGGCCAGTCAGGTCAGTTCTGCCTCCAGGGGGACCTTCTGCGATGTTTCCCAGGCTGTACTTTTTACTGGAGGAAACTGCCTCATCTTTCTCCCCAAGGCAAGAGCAGCGGGTGGACTGACTTTTGGTTAACAGCTCAGCACGTAATGGACCAGGGAGCTCTGGTGGCCTAGTGGTCAGAAGCCGCCTGTAATCCTGAAAACGCAATTTGAATCCACCAGCTTCTCTGAGAGAGGAGGGCAATCTCCTCCCGTGCGATTAAACTACCTCTGCAGACCGACTGCAGGGTCACCTAGGGTTAGTTCTGACTGCATGGCACATAACAATCACCAGGCTCCTTGGAATGTTTTAGAGTTAAAATTCATCTTGCTGGCCATACTCCCAGAGTTTCTATTTCAGAAGATATGGGGAGGGGTCCTGTTTTTTTGTGTTCTAACAAGGTTTTAGAGGATGCTGGTGCTACTGGTTCTTGAGAGACATTTTGAGAAGCAGGTTTACAACATCAATCCATCTGATAAAAATGCCTATTTTGTCTATAAGAGTAGCCTACTGTTACTCTATGACCTTTTCTTGTTGATTCAGATTTCTCACAATCACACGACCCTTACCATAAATAATGTTGTTGTTATTGTGTGGTATTAAGTCGGAACCGACTCAGAGTGACCCTCTAGTGCGTTTTCAGAGGCAGGTCATCGTAAGGGAGGAAATTGCCTGTGCTGCTGCAGAATAGCTGGTGATTTCGAACCTTTGAGATTGCAGCTCGCCTTCGTACCACTAGGCTCCCAGAGCTTGTTAACACAATGCTGTAACATTAGTAATGTACTGATGAGTACTAGGAGCTCTGGGGGCTTTTTGTTGTTGCTATGTGCTGTAGAGTTGAGTCTGACTTAGAGGGACCCAATGAACAACAGATCTGAACCCTGTATTGTGTCAGGAGAGTGGGGAGAAGTGTCCTTTTGGTTTTGGTTCTTTTACTTTGAGCTCAGAGGTGTTGATTCTGATAATATAAGCATAAAAAATTCACATATACTCAGTTAGTTAGTGAAGTAGTTTTCTCTTTTTTTTGGTCATAGAATCGATTAGTTTCATTGTGACATTAATTGACCTTGAAACTGACCATGAAGCCAAGCTGTTGTTTCTTGGCCATCCCAGTTTGGGTATACCCTGACCAAAGCTTTGATCAGAGGTGTTCCTGGCAACTGAATGATGATGGAAGTTTCTAGAACCATTGAAACGCTTCCAGTGCCCTGATCTCTGGTATTTCATGCCCCAGTGCTGTGCTTGCCTGTATTATGATACACCGCAGCACCAGGGTTCCTTAAAAAGAGTCTCTCATTGCTGTTGAGTTAGAACTGGCTCACAGCTGACCCTGCAGTGTGGTTTCAGAGGCTCTAACTAGCGTGGGAAGGGATTGGCCATCTTCCTCCTTGGCCCTACATAACTCCTTATCCACTAGGCCACTGAAGCCTCCTAAATACATAGTATATTGTTATATACTGTAGATCTTGATCTGTGTGTGTGTGTGTGTATTCTATTAATTTATAGATAGTATATGCTATGGTCCCAAATAAATAGTATAAAGAAATAATCTTTTACCTGAGTCCAGAAGTTCTAGCCATTACATGGTGAGTCAGAAGTATTACTGTTTCTCTAGGCAAAAAAGGAAAAAAAAAATCAAACTTCTCTCAGCATTTTAAAGATTTTTTTTAAGATTTTAATTTATCTTAGAGATTATTAATCTACTAAAAAAAATAAAAGAAAAAATTTAAAAAAGGATTTGTGTCCACCCCTTCCTTCCCCGACAGGTTAATGTGTAGAAAATCCTTTTGAAGCTTTTAGATTCTTATTACATGCCTCCCTTTGAGTATAAAAGAAACTAAACAGCACATAGACAATATTTGTTTAAAGTATCCATGGTTTCACATAGTGAATTACATAATTATGTATTTGTATTTATATATTGTTACTGTGTGTATCATCAAGTGGGAACAGACCCATAGCTGACCGCCAGCAGGTTTTCAGTCATTAAATTGCATGGAAGGAGATTGTCCATCCTTCTTCCACAGAGCATCTGGAGGATTTGAACTGTGTGCCTTTACGATTGAAGTGCAGCTTCTTGCTCACAGGTCTTTAGGTTAAGAAATTTCTTTTAAAACTGTCTTAGCATACTACTCCGTTTTTGCTGTCTGGATTTTTTCAGCTCTCAAGGTTTAGAGTGGAGATAGTTTCTTAGCAACACACAAGGGAAAATGTAGACTCTGAAAGCTACTCGTTACCTGTTGTCTCTGCTTTTTTCCTGCTATAGATTCTGAAACGCTTCTGTCTTGTCTTTGCAGACTTAACCTGGAGACAGACTTCAGTGTAGACACACCCACAGGTGTATCAATGGTTGTGGAAAGATAGTGAAGCCCCTCCAAGGAAGAGCGTCTACTCCGAGCCAGGGCAATGAGCGTGCCCAAGCCCAGTGGGCTCAAGGCCCCGTCCAAGATCCTGAAGCCTGGAGGCACGGCCTTGAAGACACCTGTTGCCGGTAATGCTCTCTCCTTCCCCTTGTAAGACACCGGGCAAATGACCAGCATGAGTGATGACTCCAGCTTGAAATGTTTACAAGCACAGTCCTATCCAAATTCTTATTCTTGAATATGGTTGAAAAAAAGTTTTGATGAAGAGACATAGAACTTTATACTGCTGTCTTTATCAGTGGGTAGATTATCTTTTCAGTGAATTTATTTAGTTGAGGTACTGCCAGATATTGCACTAGTTTTCACAGTTAAGCCCTTCAGTGTTCAGCCTTTCAAGGGTTAAGATTTTTCTTTGGTCCCCGCTCACCGTCCCTTACTCCGAGCCATCTGTCTCCCTGAACTTATCAAGACCTTGCTTCTTCAGGTTTAGAGATAAGTGGAAAAAAAAGAGGCTAGTCTAGCTTACGAGGTTTTATGAGCCTGTTGGTCTGAAGTTGGCCACTGGCGCTCAGGTAGCCTGCAGCACCGTGTACCGGGTCACACTCAGGAGGGAATTTAGAGGTGAGCCGGTGCCCTTTATCAGCCATTCCTCATCTCTCGCCACTTCCTCATCATCCATGTCTATTTACATCCATAATGGAAACCCAAGAGCTTTAACAACTGACAGGAGGGAGGATCTCAGATGCTTGCCTTTATGGACCCTGCAGGTGATTTATACACTATCGGATGGCTTCCTAATGTTACTAGCTGTTCTAGACTCTTGGGTACCTATCACGGTATTTTCAGTTCAGTCCGACAGTGTTTCTGCAAGCTTATCCAGAAAGACACTCATTAGCCCTCGAGGAGTACAATTACCTGTTTTTTCTCCCACTGCTGCCATATCCACATACCTCAAACACTGCCTGACATCTGCAAAAACTTAACAAAGAACTGTTGAAAGAATGGAGAGCCAGGTCACTTACAAGTTATGTATCAGAAAGTCTGTGAAACACCCTCCTGGAGAGAGGAATGATTTACTGATCAAACAAAGGACTACTAAGAAATGGATTCGAGGGCTTTTTAGCCTTGAGGCTGTCAGAGCAAAATTGAGTCCCCTATTATCCTTCTCCGTAAAATTCTGTTCTTCTCTGTCCTGTGAGTTGAGTGAAAGTTTACAGAGAAGATTGATTTTCCCCTGAACAGTTCATACATGCATTGTTTGTGTATAATCTCTACAGTGTAGCAGTACTCTTCCTGTCCCCTCCCTGTGGTGCCTGCTTTCAGTCATCCTTCTAGCCCTTCCTGCCTTCCGAGGTTTATCCCTGGACACATGCTGGCCCTTTAACCTTGTGTGGTTGATTATCCTCAGGAGTGTGTTCCTCTCTGGTGTTAATGTTTACTTTACAGCCCTGTTTGGGTTGACACAGTGACTTCAGCAATGAGTTTAATCACAGAAGACATTATCAGTGTGGTACAAGATTGGACAAGGGTTGCTATGAGTTGGAATCGACTTGATGACACCTTATAACAGTGCATAGGCCTGTCTCTCGTTTGGCTGCAGGTTGAAGGTCAAAAGTGATTTCTGCTCTGAGCTTGAAGTGCGACTGAGGGACATGGTCTCAAGTTCTGCCAGTCTCTAATAGATAGTAAGCTGGTCTCTTTTGGGGGATTTCAAACTTTGTCCTTTTTTTGCTCAGGAGCTTTGTATTGTCATTCAGGGCAGTCTGTAATGATAGCCAGACACCACACCACACTACCTTTTTGTGTCGGACTTGTAGAGATTGAGATTCATGTTGGTCCTTCAGACAGATGTCACCTCCTCCAGGAAGCCTTCTCTGACTGCTCTGTCCTCAACAGCACTTAGCCCTGATCATCAGGTGCATCGCAGTGCTGTGTCTCCACTTCTAGACTCTCAGCCCTCTGAGGACAGGAGTTCTGCTCCATCTGTGTCCGCTGGTTCAGAACAATGCCTGGGCTTAGGCCTGGCCCTGCAGCTCTAGACATGTGTTCAAACTAAATAAATACAGTATTTTATTTAATCCATGTTTTAGAAACCTTTACAGTATTTTAATGCCCTTAAGGATGAAGAAATTAAACTTAAGTTATGTGACATTCTAAGATCATGAACTGCTTAATAAATGGTAGAGTGATTGAAAATGTCAGCATCGTGAATTTATATTCAATATTTAATATGTGTTGCAAAATGTATGAGTTTTCATTGTAAATATCACTTTCTTGGCACAGTTAAACCTCTGTCTTTAGGGTTGAGACTGCTCAGAATTATGTGCCTTAAAAAGGAGTTCAGACAAACGCTACCTCTTTTCTCTGCTGTGGTTTCCACCTCTGGTGGTGAAGGAGTAGAGTTTCTGTGACATTCTCAGAGTAATGATACAGGCCACAGCCCTGAATTGCCTCCTTCATCCAGCCTGATTGTGGATCTCTGGTCACATGAAGGAAGGGGATATGGTGGGACAGCGGTGAAAGAATTCAGTTGCTTATAGAGAGATTGGGGTCTGAATCCACCAGCCAGCCCATGGCAGACAGCTTCATCTGTCTGCTTCTGTAAAGATTAACCCTTGGAGCCTGGGGGGCAGTTCTGCTGTCCCGTAGGATTGCTGTGAGTCGCAATCGACTCCTCTCGGCTCAGCAACAGTGGGTTGGGGGGTTAGGGGCCCTTGTCTGTCAGCTGCAGTTGACTGCTCCCATTCAGAACTGGAGCCCATCCCTTGGGTGGGTGTGGATGGCTTTTTGCTCTTGATGTTCTAGGTGGAGGTGAAGAGAGAGTCAGACTGCTATTAGGAACTCTGGGAAAAGGACTAGTTTTGAGGGTTTTTTTTTAAATACCCTCTTTATTGTGAAATAGTGAAAGTTTTCAGAGCAAATTAGTTTTTTCATCAAACAAGTCCTATGCATTTTGTTTCATGACGTTGATTCCATCCCTGCAGTGTCACAGCCCTCTTCCCACTGCTGCGTAGTGGTTCTCGTTTCCATTGGTCTTTTCCCCTTATCCTTTTCTGTTTTCTGAGCAGGGCTGACCTGCTCTGACTTTTCCTTAATTGCAAATAAGGAATAAACGTCCTCTGTTCAACAAGGTATGGTAACATTGAGCTTGTTCTCTGCCTCCTAGTCCAACAACAAAGCAAAATGAAAGCAGTGAAAGCAGTAAGCTGAAGCACTTCTTGAAGTGCTGTGGGCTGTGCTGGTAGTGTTGGCTCTCTTTAGTGTCTCTTCCCGAAAGTTCTAGACTGTCTGCTTGGATGTAGAAATGAATCTGCTCTGATCCTTGCTTCTCTTTCAGTCATAGCTCCGGTGGACAAAGCAGTAGCCAGTGAAAAGGCATCAAGCAATCCTTCGGAGACGCATGAAGAATTTGTGGACGACTTCCGTGTTGGGGAGCGAGTTTGGGTGAATGGCAATAAGCCTGGATTCATTCAGTTTCTCGGAGAAACTCAGTTTGCACCAGGCCAGTGGGCCGGGATTGTTTTAGATGAGCCCATCGGCAAGAACGATGGCTCGGTGGCAGGAGTTCGGTATTTCCAGTGTGAGCCTTTAAAGGGCATATTCACGCGACCTTCGAAGCTGTCACGGAAGGTCCAAGCGGAAGATGAGGCTAACGGCCTGCAGACGACTCATGCTGCCGGAGCTGCTTCCCCTCTGTCCACCTCGGCTGCCAGTGTGGTGTCCTCCCCCGCAACCCCTTCAAACATCCCCCATAAGTCACCCCAGCCTATAGCAAAGGAGCCTTCAGCCACGCCTCAGATCAGCAACCTCACAAAAACGGCCAGTGAATCCATCTCCAACCTTTCAGAAGCTGGCTCAATCAAGAAAGGAGAGAGAGAGCTCAAAATTGGAGACAGAGTGTTGGTGAGTGTAGGCCCCTTCCGGGCCTTTGTGTGGACCAAGGCGTTACCTTGGTGGGAGGGGGTTGTCCATGGGGCATATGGGCTCAGAGGGTTTGGAGGAACCCATTTCTGGAGAATTGAACCAACGTGGTTTGGCATTTTCCTCACTTTATAAATAGACTGTTTGAACTGATGATAAGCGAGCTTACGGAACTGAGCTCTGTGATGTCTGCCGGAGTTCCCAGTCCCACCGACTGTGTCCTTGTGGTTCCCGCTGCTGAGCAGAGTGGACAGGGGTCCACGTGGTCTGTCTGTAGCTCCTGTTCTTCTGTTCGCAGGAATGAGGCTTAGCCACATGACCTCCTTAGAATGAACTGGAGATGGTGAGTTAGAGATGTGTAAGGTACTAGAAGCTTGGAGGAGATCCTCTTGTTTAACCAGCCTCTCTCTGCTTAGGGAGCTCTGGTTCTTAGTGGTAAGAAACGGCGCTGCAGTCTCAAAGGCACTTGATTCCAATCCACCTGCTGCTCCAAGGACGAAGAATGGACGTTCTCCTCCCGTGTGATTTACTGTCTCTGAAAACCTGCTGGAGGGTCAGCTCTGAGTCGATTCTGACTCAACAACACACAGCTTCCCACGCTGTGTTCATAGTCTTTAGTGGGGAAAGGGAGTGACAGGAATTATGGGAGTGTTTCCCTGCCTTGATGTCATGGATTAGATGGGCTCCTAAGGCATTAGCTCTAAAGTCACTTGTGCCAGGTTTGGAAATGCCCAGGGACCTTTGATGGCGCTGTGGTTAAAGCATTTGAGTGTTAGCCGGACGTCCATGGTGAGGACACAGTCTCCGCAGCAGAAAGATGAGGCAGGCTGCTTCTGTGAGGACCTGCAGCTTTGGGGAGAGGGGGAGAGTCGGCTTGAGAGCAGTTGGTTAGGTATTCTCTATGGGTCTAGAGGCCTGAGGAGTAGCAGACTTGCTCATAACCAATCCATGTGTGTTCCCTGTCTCTCTGGTGTCCCTGCTTCCCCCTGTGAGTGGATGACCGCGCACGCCTGCCCCCTGTGGTCGGCGTCCTTGTGGTTGGTTTGACTCTGCAAGAGACCTGTTTCCATCCGGGAGCCCTGGGGTGGCTATAACTCTTGATGCTTTCGAAATGGTCTAAGACTGTCCAATACCTTATAACCACTCTTTCTCCTGTATATTTGATATTTCATCAATGCGATTTAAGGTTCTTAAAGGAATTGTGACAGAAATACAGCTGGTTCTGTCTCAGTGTGTCTGTGCTAGGACTTGGTGTCTTTCTCTGAATCATTAACCTTATATGAGGAACAAGATCTTTGATCCTTCCATTTAAAGTGATGAGTCGACCGGAAGGACTTGATGGTCCCAGCTCCCACTGCTGACACCCTAGAAGGGATCACATTAGGGCCAGTCATCCTGATCTAAAGAGACGCCCTTGCAGCCTGCACGGAAATCACCCTGGTGGCTCCTCCTAAGCCAAATCATAGACAGGCCTGGAAGGTGAACAGTAGCACCAGGGAGACAAGACACACTCTGTGGAACTATCACCACACAAGGTGATTAGCAGCATTAGCCCTGGTGACGTTTAGAAGGTGAGTCGGGGCAGGAGCGAAGGATTAGTGAGGATTGGAGGCGGGGAGCAGGAAGGGTAGTTATGTTGTGGGTAGTGTAATGTTAAAGAAAAATATCCATCAGAGACTGAATGGAAGTTTTCCCTTCTCTAGAAACGGAAATCTCAGATAAGTTAAATGAACTTGATCTTGTCTAGGCTATCCCCAGGGCTCTCAGGCTAAGACTTTGACAGCATTTGCTCCTGTTTTCACAGTCTCTTCTTGAGATGGTGAACGCAGAACCAAAGCCTGTGCCTTTGCGCCAGTCCTGACTCGCAGCAGCCCTGTAGCATAGCCTAGCAGTGCCCCCCAGGCTGCCAGCTGTGAGCTGCGGAAGCAGGGCTGCTGCGGCTTTATCCCAGAGTGACTGCTGGATTCAAACTGGCGACCTTTCTGTTAGTAGCCCAACACTTAGTCCATTGTGTCTCGAGTGCTCCTCGAAACTGTGGAAGGGGAAGGAAATCTTTCTGTAATCGCAGAAATACCTTTTTTTTTTTCACAAATGTGCAAAAATGGACACAGAAGAGCACTGCTAGATGAAGTTTATAAGCACCTTGTGCTCATACCTAGGTCAGCAGAACGTTACCAGCAGCTCAGAAGTCATCCCCTTGCCACCTGCAGACTCCCATATCCGGTCAGAGACCGTTACCACCATCCTGCCTTGACTCTGGGGTTTGTTTTTCTGTGCCGGCACCTTCAGTAACTGTAGTTCAGCCAGTGTGTTCTTCTCACTTGCTCAGCATTGTGTTTGAGATTGATCCATAATGTGCATTTTAAATCCACGCGCAGTGGGGTTTCAAATCCTGTTCTCCATCCTGTCTCACCACCTACTTCTCCACCCCACCCCCACCCCCACCCCCGGCCCCGATCTACTGTCCTTGGCCGTAGCAGAGATGGTGGCGGTGGTACAGGAGCAGGGAGGGTGTTTGAGGGTGGGGGTGGGGGCAGTATTTCTTGTACTGTGAACTGGAGCCTACTTGATGGCACCTCACAACAGCAACGTGCTAGTGAATGTGGCAGCCTAGTGGTGCGTGGCTGGCACACTCAGGTGCTAACCGGCAGGTCAGAGTTGAGCACCTCAGCCCTCAGTGAAGAAGGATGTGGCCGTCGAGTACAGCCATAGACACTCAGGGCGACTTCTGGTGGGTGCTCCAGACCCCTGGGTGTTGGAATCCTTGACGACAGTGGGTTTGGGTGTGTGTGGTTTTTAATACTAGTACATACAGCCTTTCATGCAAAACTCCTGTGGCATCGTACAGCTTCTGGTCATTTCTTACTTTACCGCAAACCAATCACTGATCTGTTTCTGCTCATAAATTTGCCCTTTTGTAACGTTTTGTGTAAGTGGAATCATGCCCGATCTGTCGAGTGCCAGGATTACATCGTGTCAGGACCACACTGTGTGATTCAGTGAAGCCCGTGAGAGCCGGGCTGCCCTTCGCCTAGGACCCACAGCTTCTGGTCTTTGACAGGGCACAGTCACCCCACTGGGAGACTGTGAAGGAGGCACTTCTTTTAGTAGAAGAGAATTTATCACATTTGATCCATTCACCTATTCCTTCCTTTGTAGTTTAAAGTTCCATTTTAAAAGTTGATGTTTGTAGTTCAGAGTATCAAATTTTGTTGATTTAAAAGTTTAAAACACCAGGTAGCCAGGCTGAGCCTTAACTTCCCTTTATTCCATGTTTTTCTTGTTGTCCTAGGGTCCTTAAGGAATCTGTATGCTGGCAGACCCCAAAAAGCCAAGCTGTCTTGTTGAGCCTGATTTATAGCAACCCTTTATCAGGTTTCTCGAGGCTGTAAATGTGGATCCATTGATGGACTTGAACTGCTAGCCTTTCAGTTAGTGGCCAGATATTTTACACATTGCGCCACCAAAGCTTCATGCTTTGAAGAAGGGAGGATTAGATTAAGCATTGCAGGTTAGATAAGATGTAAGTCATCCATAAAGCACTATCTCTTAGCCAAAGGTGTGTTCCGGATCTGTCATCTATGGTTACCCATTCCAGGGAGACTGTCTGTTACAGGGCATCTGCTCTTCCCATAGAGACGTTTAAGGGGAATGAGTTAACATCACGAGCCCTGGTGTCACTGTGCTTAAGGTATTCAACAATTAGCCAAAATGTCAGTGCTTTGAACCCAACAGTTGCTGTGCAGGAGAAAGATGTGATGCCCGTTTCCATCAAGAGTCACTCACCCACCCACTCACTCCCCTTGAGGCAGAACCCACTCGCCGCTGACCCTCCAGCAGCTTCTCCAAGGCTGGAAGTCTCAGGACGAGACTGCTCCTCTCTCCTCTGTGGGGTGACAGTGCGTTCCAGCAGCGCCGATCCCCGTGGGCGGCCACACCACCAGAGCTCCTTTCTGGGAAGTGTCCTGCCTCTGAGGATGGGCGGCTTTCGTCTGCCCTGTGGGGTGGTTGTGAGTCAGAATTCACTCACCAGTATGGGTTGTTGATCATCACAGCCTATTGGGAGATTCAAAACAGTGTTGTGAAAAGAGGAGGTAAAGGAACCTAGAGAAGCTGCGGTGACTGTCACAGCTGTCCTTGACGTCCTCCGACTCGTTCAGGAAATACTGAGCATCCGCTGTGTGCCAGCCTTTGTCCTAATGCTGAGAATTTGGCCCACAGGGCTTCCCAATGTTTTAAATGAAGCCTGAGTTCCTTCCTAGGGTTTACAGGACCCTCGGCCCCCTTTCACCTCTTCTGCCTCTATTTGCCACCTCCTGGCTTCCTCTGTTCCGCTGGTCGGCCTCCTGCTGTTTCTTAAACACCCTCCTCCCCACAGTAGTGTCTGTTCCCCCATCCGCTGGAACGGCCTGCGTCCACCACGTCTTCTCACAGTTGATGCCTGTAGTCACTGGGTTTTGGCTCAGGTGGCTCCTCCTCAGGCGCCTTCTCCTGGTCCCTCAGATAAAGACATCATCCTCTTCAGTCCTGTTCCATCCCCCCACTTTGTTTATCCTTCGTGCTCTTTACTTTTGGAGGTGAATTTACTCATTTGAGTGTTTATTGTCCATTTCTCCCTGGCCAGAATATAAGCATAAATGTTGAGCTGCTAACCACAGAGGCAGCTGTGGACCCAGCGGCGGGTGGGGCGGTCAGCTCTGGCAGTTCCCCGTCAGCCGCTCTGGAAGAATGATGAGTCTGCTCCATGAAGACTGAGACCACTGGGGACTCCACGGGGCAGCTCTGCCCTGTCCTACAGTGTCAGGATTCACTGGAAGGTGCCTTATCAATGCGTGGAAGCCTTCCTAACTTGTTCACTAGTGCATCCTGCACTCTTGGGCAGTATCTGCACATAGTAGGTGCTCTTTGACATAACTAGTACTCAAAAGAGGTGGGAAGGTTTTGAATAGAGCTTCCATATTCTTGAAGAGGAGGAGTAAGTCAAGAAGGGGAAGTAGGACCCATGAGGGAAGAGCTGGGAGTGAGCATTGACCTTGTCTGAGTGGCCCGAGGGTCACTTGGCTAGGATGGCTCTCCTTGAGGCCAGGGAACATACAATGAAGGGCCTTCATTTCAGGGGTGAGTAGGGTTTCCTTTAGGGCTAAAGATGTAGTGGGTAAACACCATTTAACCCTGGTTACCTGTTTTAATAAGCTACCTAAATTACTTTATGACAGATAAGAAACCACTTAACAAACTCCTGTTGCTCAGCGACTCTGGGTACACCCCGAATGACCACTCTTTACAGCCCTCCAGCTTTAGAAACCAGGGCACCGGGAGGCCGGCTGGGTGGCTCCTGACCTGAGGAGGAGGATCTGGAGGGTGCAGAGGGAAATCATTCCTGTTTCCTGGTTTTGGACCATTCCTTAGTCCTGCACAATTTACCAGTGGTCTCATTTCTACACAAGCTTACACAAAGGGATTTGTCTACTATCTCTTGAGATACTTGTCATTTTTAACTGAAATGATTTGTTCCTGTTACTCACCCTCAAAGGCCAACGCTGTGTTCTGTTTACCCATACCCTAAGGGTCCAAGCACTCAAGAACCTTGTTAAATGAATGAATGAAAACTTAGAAATCTGAGAGTTCCCACAGCATGAAAGTAGTAGCCTGGCTTTGATTTGGTCAGAATACCTAGTTTGAAATTGTTTTGTCTTCAGTGAGGACTTGTAACCTTCACCTTGTTGACTACAATGTTAGAAGGTCAGGGCCTATATTCTTAGAACAAGAAGAACCATGGTGGTTCAGTGAGTAAAGCAAATGCCGGCGAGCCAGAAGGTTGGTTTTTCAAGCCCACCAGTATCTACTGGAAAAGTAGGAGACTGTCTGCTTCTGTGAAAAGCTTCAGAGCCTTGGAAACCTTACTCCAGAAACCCAGACTCGAGGCTGTCAAGTCAGAAGCTATTCAGCACCTACCCTCCTTGGGTTTCCAGCACAGTGTCAAGTGCACTGCATGTAGTTGCTCATTGTCCCCCCCTCAGAGCCAGAGGTGGGTTAGCAGTGACACTGTGACTGGACAACATGCCCAGACGGCCCTGGGGGCAGTGGGATGTCTCTAGAGTCTCTACGAGTTGAAACCAGCAATTTGGGATTGACTTGACCTGTCATGGGAAGAGTGGACTAAGAGAATGAATGGCAGTCATTTTTTGTTTGCCATGGGAGTGAGTGTATACATTTTTTATTTTCAGCATGTTTTTCTTTTTACTTGAAATACAATTTTTATTATATACTGGTTTACTTACAAATCTTGCATACATTGTTTTTCACACCAGATCTTTCCCATTTCTTTTACCCCCCCCCCATCAGGTTGTGTGACCCTATGATTAACCACCCCCTCATCCTCACCCCTCTGCTCCCACCCTTCCCCTCTGAATCCTCATACTCATTTTACAGTAATGGTGTTATACAGTATTTGTCCTTACGAGACACAGTTAATTCACTTTGCATACGATTTTTCTTTTTGAAAAGATCATTTCATTTTATTATTGTTGACAATATAGATAACAATTCTTGGGTTTGGGTGCTGTGAAATCAACAGAGCAGACCCACTGCCCGATTTTACACACTCCTCACAGGGCAAATCCACTGCCGGATCCTGCACCCTCCTCAGGGAAAATAACCATCCTCATAGGACACACCCCACTTCCTGATCCTGCACTGTCCTTGCAGGGAACACCCCACTGCCGGATCATCCCCCTGTCCTCTCAAGGCATTTCCTCCCTGCCCGGCCTCCCCCCACCCCCTCCTCACAGGACATGCTCCACTGCCCAGTCCCAACCCTACACCGACCTAGCAGAGAACACCTCATTTCTTGACACCACACTATCGTCAGAGCATCCCCTAACCTGACAGTTTTTAAATGAGCAGTTGAGTGACAGTGTAGTGTTTCTTTAATAATCTTGCTATCTGCATCTAGACCATGGATTTCTTAAACATGACTTGGAAATAGTGGTGTCTGCCTCATGCAGATGCTCCCACTGGAATACTGTGGACTGCCTGGAATTCACGTAGGAAGTTAAGCCCAGTGTTTAGAAAAACATCTGACTGTGGGATGACTGAGAAGAAAAGCATTCGAGGTATTTTAGAACATGATGCAACTTTCTGTCTCTCCTGAAGATATTCTGAGTACTTACTGGTGATCTTTTTGTCTAAAAGGAAAAGCATTTCATAGTCAGAAATTACAACTGTGATGGGTGACAACTGTGATGGGTGAAAAAGTAGAAGAAACTGTCCGTTCTAGGAACTGGTAATCATTTCTTTTACACAAAGTAGGTAGTGTAATATATATGCTTTGAATATCTATTCATTACTTGCTATACTTAGAGCTATAGTAGCTAATCTGTCATTTGTGGTTGTTTCTTATAAAGCTTGCAATTAGAAGGAAACCTGTGGTTTGCTTGGAGAATTCCTGCCCACAGCCTGTTAGATTCCTCCTGGGAAATGAGTGCTCATGACAACAGCTTGGAGTCACCCCCAAAGAATCCAGAAGATTATCTGGGGAGATCGCATCATCTCTCACTAATGTGCTGTGTTGTACTCATATGACGCTGTTGGGCGGCTGCTGCTGGGGGTGGGAGGAAGGAGAATATGAGCCTGATTTATATGGGTGATGACTGTCTGAGATCCCTTGAGTTACAAACAAGAAAACATTGCCAGGTCCAGCACTTTATAGTCTTCTCAGCAGGCTCAGTACCCAGACTGTCCGTCAGGTCCTGTGCTAAGCCATTTTCTGTGGAATGTCTCATCCTCAGGACAACCCTTCACTTATCCCCGTCTCACAAACAGGAAACAGATTGAGAAGCTCGGTTAATAAGTTGGCAGAGCTCCTATTGGCTTAGTCCAGCTTTAGCCCCCGATCCGTATATTAGCAGATCCTCCTTTACGTAGTCAAGGAAAGTGGGCTGGTCCCCGCAGAGGTGACAGCCTTTCAGTCAGCAGGTGTGTGTGGAAGGCAGGTCTGTGCTCTGCTGAGCATTGAGGTCACAGTGAGCATGAGTCCTCCAGACTCCAGCCTGGTCTGTGTGCAGTGACACCTGCCGTGTCACTGGGACATTTCTGTACAGCCCCTTGCAATACCCCTCCCTGGTGGTGGTTATTTGATGTTGAGTCGCTTCTGACTCCGTATGTGTGCTGAATAGAGATGACCCAACAGAGTGTGGAAATTAGCTAACAAAATCGCTGATCTCACCTGCAAGCAAAATCCTGCTGAAGATTTTCCAGAAACTACTGGAACTGCCAGAAGTGCAAGCTGGATTTGGTAGAGATCGTGGCATGAGAGACATTATCACTGTTATTAGATGGATTTTGGCAGCAAGCAGAGAGTATCAGAGGAATGTCTGTGTTTCATTGACTTTGCATGGCATTTGACTGTGTGGATCACAACAGATTGTGGCTAAGCTTGAGGAGAATGGGAATCCTGGAACCCTCGATTGTGCTCATGCAAAGTCTGTGCTCAGACCGGGAGGCAGTCCCCAGAACTGAGCAAGGAAATAAAGCATGGTTCAAAATCAGGGAAGGATTGTGCCAGGGATGTGTTCTTCTGTCTCCATCCCTTTTCACTCTGTATGCAGAACAGATCATTCAGGAGGCTGGCCTTTGTAGGAGGAATGTGGCATCAGGCTTGGAGAAGGAGTCATCAACAACCCATGTTCATGCAGATGACATAACCTTGCTTCCTGAAACTGAGGACGATGAGACCTGACATGCCCAAGGACTGCAGTCTTCAATATGAAATTTGTTTTCTTTTAATGATGTGGGTTGGTTGTTTTTTTTTATAACAAATGTTTGTTTTGAAACAGGAAAATGCCTCTCATTTTTCTAAGGAGGGTCTCATGAATTTGTTGGATAGTCTTGTTAGATGCCCTCTTTCAAGTTGGTTCCAACAGTCAGTGATCAGATAGGTAGTGATCCCTTGCCATCCTCCTGATCTCTGCTGTCCTGAAGTCTAGCTCCGGTGTCGTGCTGTCTGGTCTGGTGTCTTTGACATTGACGGCCCACCCTACCACCTCCCCCACCCATTGTCTTTCTTCAGGCTTTGAGCCCTCCTGGTAGCCTGTCCAGAGTATGGGAAACAGTCTCACCATTTTCTCACTTATTACTTGGGCGTTTTCATTATTAGGCTACAGCAAGTATTGGATCACTCTGATGTGAAACACTGCTTAACTTTTGGTAAGAGTCACACAGAAGTTTAGATTCTGGAACATGTTCATTTTGCCCTTCTCTTCTCACAGGTTGGTGGCACTAAAGCTGGGGTTGTCCGGTTTCTTGGGGAGACAGACTTCGCCAAGGGGGAGTGGTGCGGTGTGGAGTTGGACGAACCTCTTGGGAAGAACGACGGGGCTGTTGCTGGAACAAGGTTTGTCTGTGGCTGTGTGTTCAGGCAGGTCTCTCCAAGTCTGCTGAGGAATGTGGAAATGAGGCTGCTAAGCTCTGCACTTCCCCCTAGAACTCCCACTCCGCCCAAAAAGGATAGCAAATCCAAACTCACTGCTGCCCAATCCAAGACCTAGCTACTCCTTTTCCCACCAGAACTCAAGCACTGGTGGTGGTGTGGGTAACGCATTTGACTCCTTACCAAAAGGTTGGTGGTTTCAATCCATCATCCACTCCATGGGAGAGGCTGAGAGGCAGTGTATTTGGTAAACCTCGAGACTTCTGTGCTGTCTTGTGTCATAACTGCTGGAGTCAGAATTGACTTAATGGCTGTGGGTTTAGAATTGGAGTTGTTCCTTTGATGGTCTCCTTAGGAAATACTTAGTACATCTGAGTGGATCCGGAACAAGCGTCCACTTTATTTTTTGGCGTAGAGGGGGAACGTTATTTCGCCCTTTGCCTTCTCTCCCTTTTGCTTCCACTCAACCTCTGAATGACTTGTGAGGTGTTAAATGTGGAGAATAAAAAACAGGAAGCTGCTTTTGGGGAAGAGAAGAAGCCTGGGCTAGGAAACAGACAGCAGGCATACCTGTTCTTTGATTTCAATTGAAATAGAAACGAAAACTGCCTTTTAGAAATATTTTGTGTTTTAAGCGAATGTTACATAGCCGGTTAGCTTTCTGTTCGAGTTGATCCAGACCTTGTTCTGTGATACTGGTTGTAGTCCTGCAGTGTGTCAGCCCTCTCCTTGTTTCCTCCTAGGCTTCTCAGTTTCCAGTCATCTTACCTTTTCTTTTAGAAGGATAACCTTCTGTCCTAAAGACAGGATGCCAGTGAAGGAATGCAGGTGACTGTGTAGGCAGTGGGAACAGGCATGGTATATAGTGTGTCAGTTAGTAGTATATGCTAATGGATGTCTTTGACTGTTGAATGTTACCGTTTGTGTGTTGTATGAGCAATATTAGGACAAGTGGAGAAAAGATTGAGGTTATCAACTCTTTCATTAAGGACCTGCCAACATGGGCCACATTCGCACCAAAACCGTGAAGAAGGCGGCCCGGGTCATCATTGAGAAATACTACACGCGCCTGGGTAATGACTTCCACACGAACAAGCGCGTGTGCGAGGAGATCGCCATTATTCCCAGCAAGGAACTCCGGAACAAGATAGCAGGCTGTGTCACACACCTGATGAAGCGGATTCAGAGAGGGCCTGTGAGAGGCATCTCCATGAAGCTGCAGGAGGAGGAGAGAGAATTATGTACCAGAGGTTTCAGCCCTGGATCAGGAGATCATTGACGTAGATCCTGATACTAAGGAAATACTGAAACTCTTGGACTTCGGCAGGCTGTCCAACCTGCAGGTCACTCAGCCCACAGTTGGAATGAATTTCAAAACACCACGTGGAGCTGTTTGAATCTGTCTGCTGTGCTATAATATTTTCAATAAACTTGGGCACACACACACAAAAAAATTGAAGTCATCAATGATTACGTTTTACTTGGATCCATAGCCATCACTTAAGAAAACAGCAGTCAAGAAATCAGAAGACACGTGGCCTTGGGCAGATCTGTGGTCAAGGACCTATTTAAAGTGTAGAAGTTCAAGGAGATTTCAAAGATTAAAGTACCCCTCACCTAACCTGTGTTCAAACGCTTCATATGCTTGTGCGACTTGGACAGTGAGTGAGGACGGCTGTAGAGGAGCTGATGCCTCTGAATGTGGTGGGAGTAAAGAATACGGAATAGACCATGGGCTGCCACACAGACCTGTCTTGGTTGGTGTCAGCCAGAGTGTTCCTTACGAACCAGGAAGGTGAGACATTGGCGCACATACCTGAGACATCGTATCCAGAGTGGCTTGTCTCTGGAGAAGGACATCATGGTCAGAACAAAATCAGCCAAAGAGCAGAGGGCCCTCAAGTATTGACCTGACACGGGGGCTGTGTGTGATTGTTACTGTGATTGCAGGCGTTGTGAGGCCACCCAGGGTTGTTGTTCAGTTGTATGTGGAGTCACCGGAGTCCGGTCAAGGCATAAATGCTCCAACAAGTCCCATGCCCACCGTTAACTAACTATACCAGCTAACCTTCTGTATGTGGACTTGAACGAGTCTGCCCGAGTGGGGTGCCTGCTGTACTTTGAACCCTCGAGCTGCTCCACAGGAGACAGATGTGTCTGTTCCCTCCAAGATTTCAGTCTCGAAAACTCAGTTGGATGGTACTGCCCTGTCCTTTTTGTTTTTTTAAAAAAACACTGTGATTTTAACGAAATTTTACAGAAAAGTTGGATTTTCACTCATTCATTGTTGCACGTTTTCCTCCCTATCCTCCCCAGTTCACTTAAAAAAAATCATTCATTATTGCATAATTTTCTTCCTCCCCCCACCCTGTCTTTTTAATATTTCATTGACTTTGCAAAAGCATTTGCCTGTGTAAATTACAACATATGATGGCTAACATTGAGAAGAATGGGAATCCCAGAACACTTAATTGTACTCTTGGGAAACCTATACATAGACCAAGAAGCTGTTATCAGAGCAGAGCAAGGGAAACATTAGATAGTTTAAAATCAAGAAAGGTGTACATCAGCTTTGTATTCTCTCTCCATACCTCTTCAGTATGTATGCTGAGCAAATAATTTGAGAAGTTGGACTCTATGAACAAGAGTGTGGCATCGGGGTTGAAGGAGGAGTCATCAACAACCTGTGCCGTGCAGATGACACAGCCACGCTTGCTGAGAGTGAAGAGAACTTGAAACACTTGCTACAGAAGATCCAAGACTACATACAGACTTCAATAGGAATAACATCAATACATCAAGAAAATAAAAATACCACTGAGCTGAGAGGCAACATCAGTAGGTGGAGACAAGACTGAAATTATCAAAAGATGGGTTGCGTTGGGAAAATCTGCTATCAGAGACCTTTCCAAAGTGCTGCAGAGTAAGGTGCACCTTATTGAAACCACCATCTTTCTGATCACTTGCTGTGCATCACTGGACAGTGGATAGGATGACAGAAGAATCAAGGCCTTTGGGTTGTGCGGTCGGATGAGTACCCAATGGCCTGTGGACTGCCAAAAACCGAACAAAGCTAGGTGCTTCCTGGAGGCAGTGATGGTTAGCCTTCATGCTGGATACTGTTTTCAGGAGAGATCCGTCCTTGGGAAAAGAAGGACTTCATGCCGAGAAAGGTGAACGATCAGAGAAATAACGGGAGACCTTCAGTGAGGTGGATTGACACAGTGACTGTAACACGGGCTTGAACATCATGAAGACAGGGCGAGGACGGCGCGGGCTCAGGCAGGGCTCAGCTCTGTTGTTCATAGGATTGCTATGACTCGTAGTTGACTCCATGACGCCTAAAACCAGCAACGTGTCTTTTGTGGAGTGAGTTATGTGTTGAGCTGCTAACTGCAAGATTAGTGCTTCCATCTACTAGCAGTTCTGGTGGAGACAAGTGAGGCAGTCCCATCCTGTAAAGATCTGTAGTCTGGGGTGTTCAATGTCAGGTCAGGATGAGTCAGAATCGACTGCACAGCAGTCTGTCCTGTTAGGTCTCCAGGAGTCAGAACTGACTTGATGACGGTGGGTTGTGGTGGTGGTGGTGTTACACGCCATCGAGTCACCTGCAATTCATAGCAATCCTGTGTACAACAGCCCTAAACCCTGCTTTATCCTGGGCCAATTTTTTATGTGTGAGTGTGTATCGTCAAATCAGATCTGACTGGTACAGGAGGAGATTGTTTCTCCTTCTCCAGCAGAGCATCTGGTGGATTTGAACCACAAACTTGTGGGATTGCAGTGCAGCTTCTTGCCACTAGGCCACCAGAGCTCCTTCCTGTGCCAGTCTTACTGACTTGGACATACCTACCCCCATTACCCTAGTCCCTGAATCAGTCCACCTCATCGAGGGTCTTCCTCTCCTGCGCTGTCCCTCCACCCTCCCAAGCATGACGTCCCTCTCCAAGGACTGGTCCCTCCTTACAACATGTCCAAAGTATATCAGACAAAGCTTCAGAATCCTTGCCTCCAAGGAGCAGCCTGGTCTCACCCTCTCCAGGACAAATCTGTTTGTTCTCCTAGCAGTCCACGGTATATTTAATACTCTTCTACAGCACCACAGCTCAAAGGCATCAATTCTCGTGTCATCCTTAGTCACTGTCCAGCTCTCTGATGAAGAACAAAGGATTGCAAAGACCACGGCCTGCATCAGGTGCACCGTAGGTTGTGTTGTTACGGTTTCTAAAGCATCACTGAGGTTTCGTTCTTTTCACTCCGCCCACGTGGACGTGAGTGTTCCACTCTAGCACACAACTTTGGCTTCTTGGTAGAATTCCCAGCCAGCTAGTCCTACAGTGTATGAGCCTAGGGGGCTTTTCCCTTGTAGTTGTTACGTCTTGTAATTAAGATGGCTTTTTTGGTTTACATTTTATTCTCGTTCTCTGAAGGTATTTCCAGTGCCAACCCAAATATGGCTTGTTTGCTCCTGTCCACAAAGTCACCAAGATTGGCTTCCCTTCCACAACCCCAGCCAAAGCCAAGGCTGCCGCCGTGAGGCGTGTGATGGCCACCACGCCCGCCAGCTTGAAACGCAGCCCGTCTGCCTCCTCGCTCAGCTCCGTAAGCTCGGTGGCCTCCTCCGTGAGCAGCAGGCCCAGTCGCACAGGGCTGGTAAGCCTCTCCTTCCTTCTCGCTCTCCTCCTTCGCAGGCACGATGACCCCGTCCACCCGCACCCTTGCTCCCCCGGAAGATTGTCCTCCTGTCCTCTCGTCCTTGTGCTAAATCCCAGCTCTGTCTGGCTGTGACACCCCTGAAAGTAGGTTTCTGAAAGTTTCCCTTCCAGCCAAATCATCATTTTTGAATCAAAAAATGTGTTGCATAGTCTTTCAAATTCTGAAGCCTTTCAGAGGGACTAGTTCTTGGTAAACCTGTTGTAATTGCTGTTTGGCTCCCATATGGATTTATTATTTTGTTCTGAAGTTATTTTGGGCACAAGAAGAAAGGGAAATTGAGGGTGTCTTTTCCTCAAGGACTTGGGTCTGTTTCTCTTTGAGGCCAAATCATTTAGGAACAGAAGTATTTTGAGAGAAGATGTGTTCTTAGCATTCTAATCTTAAGTTAATATTGTCTGGCCCACTGAAAGCATTGATGTGTGACATGTTCCTGACTTGCACCAGAGAATGGAGAAGGAACTTTCTAGAGCTTGTCAGGAACTAGGGAAAGTCATGGTCTGTTTTGTTTCCCGCTGTCTTCCCTCTGTCTTCCCCTCTCTCCTCCTTTTACATAATTTCTTGTTGTGTACCATGGAGTTGGAACTGACTCGTAGCTGACCCTTCAGGGGATTTTCAGAGGCAGTAAATCGCCCACTGGAGGACGTCACCCATCTTTCTACTTGAGAGCAGCTCGTGGATTCGAACTGTGTGACTTTATGTTGGCAGTGCACTTCCTTACCACTTTGCCACCAGAACTCCTTTTTATCCCATTTAGGGATATTAGTTGACTTGAGGTAAATACTGTTCTATATTTGGAAAGGCAACAGAAAATCCTACTCAACGTGATGTAGGGTCTGTACTTTGTGGTGCGGATGGCAGTCAGGCGAGATGTGCCATCGTGAAGAGCCGTGACTGGGACTGTCCCTTTGCCTCAGCCTTCCTGGTGGCTGACGGGACGAAGAGGGAGTGGAATCTGCCTTGTGTGTGGGAGTCGTTCTCCTTTGTCTCCCTGCTGGATGGTCCTCCTTCCAACATTTAGGCAAAATTATATTTTGCATCTGATATGTATATTTTGCATCCAGTCTGCATCTCGAACAGAAAAATCACAAATAAACTGTTATGGAAAAACATGATAAGAACAATGAGGTGAAGAAAACTTTTTGTCAGGAGAAAGCGTTGTTTAGAGCAAGTGGCCAAAGTCTGTTACGGACATCTTTGCTGGTCTGTGAGAGGATCTGCTTTGCATTGGGAATCTTGGGTGCTTTTTATTGCCGTATAGTAATCCAGTCTAATGTGGAAACGCATTGCATGGTGTCCAACAAATGGCACCGTGTTTCTCCTGGGAATTTAAAATGCTGCATATTGTCTCCGCTCCGGAGGTGCCTCAGCGCGATCTCGGTGCCTGGTTTGGGAACCTTACGAGAGAAAGTGTAATTTGACCACATCATGAAATTGGAAGTGGAGAGGCAGATGGCTAAAGGAAGAAGACATTTTCCTTGACCTTGTAAAGTAATAAAAAGACATTTCCCTAAGTACTGACAGTAAAGGCCAGTGTAGATTTGATTGGTTTCCTTTACTCTCCCAGTTAACAAACGACCTGATTATTAATTGATGAAAGACACTCCTTGTAAGCTGTGCTCTGTCAGAAGGGCTCAGGTAGCCTGATTACGAGAAGAGCATTCAGGTGACAAATGGGACCTGATTCCAACCGGGACATCAGGACTGGAGTAATGGAGAGCCATCTACAGACAAGTGATTGACCAGGAACAGGCAGTGCAGTGCCGAGACAGGAGACCTCTGCTCAACCGCCTGCAGCTTCTGGTCCACACCTGCCTCAGGTCTTCCTCAGCTTGCCGCAGTTCGCAGGGTGCACCACGCTGTTTTAATAGTTATTTCCCTCTGCATTTTTAATGACCATTAGTTTCAAGATGGAAGAATCAAGTATGTGAAGCAACCAAGATTAACAGATGGACACACAGAGACACTTTTCTTTACCCCCACCCCCACTTCATCCCTTTCAGCCCCATGTTTTCTTCCTCGTTCTTGCTCCGTTGTTTCTCTGCCTCCGTCCCTCACCCCCATTTCTCTCTCCTCACCCCCATTTCTCTCTCCCTCTTCTCAGATTGCTCCCCCACCCTCATTTCTTTCCCCTTCTTCTCTCTTGTGTGTGCACATACCCACATGCTCACCTACTTACCCCGTTCTCCTCGTCTTCTCTACATAAACCTCTGGTGCTGGAGACTCAAGGCTTCAGGACTGGGTTCCTGTTAAAAGATGAAGAAAATTCTGATAGCAATCTGACCTGTACTCCATTGAAGGAAGGTTTGTGTCTCCCAGGGTGGCCCCTGGCTGACTGACTGTCACAGAAGTCTGAGAAGACTGGCCAGAGTGTCATGACCGAACCTCAGTGTTGATGAAACTCAGGAGCCGTGGAGTTAGAGGCATTTGCTCAGTGGGCCCGGTGGAGTTTCCCTAGGTTCCTGCGAGCCCTGTCGGCTGAGCTGAGGGTGCCTAGGAGCTGAGCTGTGCACTCTCCTTGCAAGCGCCTTCCTGCCTGTTCCGGGACCTTGCCACATGCTTTGATTGTTCTATGATTTCTAGATGTTGTGTGATTGCTCCCTGACCTCTCGCCTTTGCTTCTTTGCAAAATTGAACGCTGGCAGCACCACGCGCTTCCTTGTGTTCCCACCTCTGGGCAGCGCCTGTGCTTTGCTGGGGAGCTGCCCGCCTGCATGCCTGGCCCCTCTCGGCTTCCCTGGCAGCGTCATCGCCCTTCACGTCTCTAACTTTCCTTTGCAGTTGACGGAGACCTCCTCCCGGTACGCCAGGAAGATCTCCGGCACCACCGCCCTCCAGGAGGCCCTCAAGGAGAAGCAGCAGCACATTGAGCAGCTGCTGGCAGAACGGGATCTAGAGAGGGCGGAGGTGGCCAAGGCCACGAGCCACGTGGGGGAGATAGAGCAGGAGCTAGCCCTGGCTCGGGATGGACACGATCAGGTGACGTCTGGCGCTGTCTCGTGGTGGAGATGGTGATGGTTCTTACGCTGAGCAAGGAGGTGGAAGGACAGTCCTGGTATTTGGAGCCAGGGGGCAGGTCTTGAAAGTACTAGAAATGAGTGTGGGCTTGCTGGAAGGTGTAACCCTGTGGAGCAGTTCCCAGCATCCTAGAGATCAGGTTTTGTTCTCCTTGGTTCTACTGAAGTCTTTTATTCTTTACATCCAGAGGCTCTTGGTGTTTGGCCAACTTGTTTATTTGGACCTTATCTGTGATTTTAAAATCCTGTTTTATAGAATATCCTTTGTATGTATTTCATCTGAGAAAGGGGGGAGAAAACGATTTGTGTCACCATTGCCCCCTGTTGCTCAATTGGTGTGTTTCTTCATCATCTAGCAGCCAGGAAGTCTGCTGCGAGTAACCCATGAACGAGCGTAGACAGCCCTTGAGTGTGGAGAAGTTGTAGATTAATGAAGTGCACCGTGGTCCCATGTAGCTGTAACTTGTTGGAGATATTCCCTGGGCCTGTGTCAGGGTGCGAACTCTCCCCTCACCGCAGTCCTTGTCTTCCTCAGCATGTCCTCGAATTGGAAGCCAAGATGGACCAGCTGCGGACAATGGTGGAAGCAGCTGACCGGGAGAAAGTGGAACTTCTCAACCAGCTTGAGGAAGAGAAAAGGTGATGTCAGACTTTTCTAGGGGGAGTTTGACCATTTCCCCTGAGAAAAACCAAGGCACATCCACCACCATTGAGTTGGTTCTGACTCCGGGGACCGTGTGGGACAGAGAAGAGCCCGCTTCTAGGGCTCCCAGGGGTGTGAACCTGTACTCAGGCCCACTGCCTCGTCATTTTCCATTGCCACCAGGGCTCCTTTCCCTGAAAAGATCTCCAGAAACACCTCCCATTTACCTCCCTCTCCATGTGAAGCCGCAGAAGCACAGCAGTGACACTGGGTAGGACAGAAATGGAACTCCTCCCTCCGTGCAAGGAGTGGGCTACCACGTGGCTTCTCTTCAGGGCACCCAGAGCCGTCCCCGCGGCCTCGGCACTAAGTGCGTATTTTTTGGGTGTCTGCTGGGTGCTGGCCATCTTGAGGATGAATGTCCTCCTGAGGCCGCAGGATTGTGGAATTGACGCAAACTCAGCCTTCACTTGGAGCTGTTTGTGTGAGAGGGTGTAAAATTAATTGACACTAATGTAATGAGCTTTCTGCCATGAATCAGTAAAATGGTCTTACGTAGTGGGTGATAGGAACCCTAGTGGCACCCAGCTGCTTACCACAAGGTCCATAGTTTGAATCCACCAGGCACTCTAGGGGAAGGATGCGTTCAGTCTGTGCTCACAAAGATGGAAATCCCACAGAGCAGGTACGCGCTGGCCTGCAGGGTCACTGGGAGCTGGAATCGATTCAGCAGCACTGCCGTGTGTGTTTCTCTGGGTGTTGAGAAAATCAGAATATTTTTAGGAAAACAAAGCTGTCATATGACAGAGAAGCAAGTAAGACGCTTTGCCCTGTCATTACAAAGTCAAGTGGTCCGGTGTGGATGAGCTAGTGAAGGCAAGTTGAGTTCCTACAAAAGGGAGGCTTTGAAGGGCAGTGGAGGAAGTGTCCACAGAAGCAGTTGGAACATCCCTGGCACGTGGGAAGTCTGTGCACCACTGCATTAATGCCACCTTCTGTCATCTTGGTGAGCAGCGACACACAGCAGGAACCTGGGACTCAGGGTGATTGTGAGCTCAGCGATGGTAAGGGTACCCCAGAATCCGGCCCCCTGCACTGCTGCCGTCGTGGCAGCTCCACTCAGGGTCCCTGTAAGGCAGCGAGGAGCTGCACCCTCGATAGGGTCTCCGTGACCGACCTCCACAGCAGCCGCGCTTTCTTCTGCCTGTGCCTGGTGATTTAAATCTGTGGACCTTTCAGTCAGCAGCACAATGCTTAAGTCACTGCACTGCCAGAGCTCCTGGCAAGGGCTTCAGTGGAGGGATAGCCCAGTCCATCTCCAGTAAGGTTACAGTGAGGGACAGCCCAACTCCTTTCCCTAATGGTTACACTGAGGGAGAGCCCAGCTCCAGTAAGAGTTACAGTGAGGGATAGGCCAGCTCATCTCCAGGGAGAGTTCTTTCCCGTTGGGGAAACACTTCCATAGGAAATGCGTCTAGTAGCCTGAAACTGGCTTCTTGGAAATGAGAAGCAGGGCTGGGCAATTCTAGGCCCTTCTGAATGCCAAGGCACCAGTACATTAGCTTCTGTTCTTAAATCAGCTGTTATCTGCAGACTTCTGGGCTGAGGAGCTTGTCTCCCTGCTTTGCGCAAGTTTGCAGATGACATTTCTGACTGAAATGAGTAGGATTGTTTTCATGTTCAAGGTCTCGAGAATGCTGATGAGTTAAAGGACTCTATTTATGTCTGTCCTCTTTTTATTCTTTTCTGACACCCGATTTTTAAAACATTCATAATGTGGACGTTACCACGTAAATCTTCAAAAGATCCTATTTCGTGGTCTCTGACCACACATTCCAATAGCAGAGATTTCTAAATGTGAAAGCAGTGTGCGGTTGAGGGTTTGAGCTCCCCCAGATCATGATGAGCTCACCCTCTCAGTCCAGGAGCAGGTACTGGCAGCCTTGCACAGGTTTAAAACAGAGGGGTCTATTCTTCATGCAGACCAGCTTACCAGCCTAATGCTTGTCCGCTACAGGGCCCGAGTGTGAATATGTGGACCACAGTATTCTTTGTACCCTAAGGTATCTGGGCATAAGGTGATGTAAGAAGAGACTGGCTTTCTGTACTGTTCTTCCATGGCCGCTAGTCCTGGGTGGAGGAAATTGTTGACTTGAAATCTGACACATACCTTTAGTGTAATCACACTTTTCCCCTGCAGTCCCATCTTGTGTCTTTCAGCTGCTAACCAGAAGGTTGGTGGTTTGAACTTACCAGCTGCCCTGTGGGAGAAAGATGAGGCAATCTGCTTCCAGAAAGATTTACAGCCTTGACCCCATGGAGCAGCTTTCTTGGTGCTGCAGGGTCACTCTGAGTAGGGGTCTACTTGATGGCAGTGCCAGTCCCTTCAGCACCCCGTGGAATTTCCTAATTAGAACCGACCACTTCAAGCTGTGAACAGGAAGACCTCCCCCCTCTTTCAGTTATTTCTTTCCTTTTCACTTTTTTTATTATCTGTACACATTTTTTTTAAACTTTGAAGTAGACAGCTGTTTCTTCTAGTTACTGTCCTGAATGCTTTGTTTGGGTTTCAATTCACAGGAAGGTTGAGGATCTCCAGTTCCGGGTAGAGGAAGAATCCATCACCAAAGGCGATCTCGAGGTAAACCCCCTCCAGCTCCCTCGAGTTCCTGGAGCCAGGACGCAGGTGTGGGGGGCATGCAGGCAGACCCCAGGTTGTGTAAGGGCCTCTGATTTAAGTACAAACCCTCAGTTAGGAACCAGCCCTGTAAAACCTGTTATATTAAAAAATTAGAGGGCAGACCATGGATCAGAATTAACAAACGGGCCCAGTTTGGCTATTCACATTTAACCGTTGTTGCTGTTACTAACTATAATTCTAAGATAAATATGTTTTGGTGTGTTTAGAAGTACTTCTTTGAAAAAATAACTTTAATAAAAAAGGAGTACTTCTTTGTTTCTAATGTTTTATGCATAGAAAAGTACAATACATACTAAGACATTTGCCTGATGATATAAACCATATGCAACTGTTGATACTCCCATAAATTCCACTGAACGAGGGTGGAACTGGCTGGGAATCTGGGTTCTGCCTGCTACGGTGCCACCTGAGTTGTGGGACCAGAGCGCCAGCAGGAGGAGCCCGCGAGCGTGGGTGGCCGTCCTCCAGCGTTGGGTCACGGGCATGGGGGGTCAGCCCAAGGGATGGTGTCAGCCCTTGAACCTGTCACTGTGGTGTCTCAGTTCCTTTGCAAAGGAAAATTGTCACAACTTTTTGCACCTGCTTCAAAATTCACAGCCACGAATTGGATGTAATTAAGTCATACACCTGGCAGTGTGCCTCCCAGTAGACCTGTCCTGTGAGACAGCCCATGAGCGACTCTGAGTATCAGAACCACATTTTAAGATGTCGTCCAAATTGCCCAGGCACAGTGTTTGACTTCATCTCTCAGTTACGCTCTTTGGGTGAGCAGGATAATTGTCACAACTCTACTGAAGAGAGAATTACATGCTCTAGCAATTGATTTAAAACAAAAAACAACCCCACAGAACAAAACAAACCACGCCATCGAAAAACAAGAACAATTCAGATTGAAATGTCTCTTTCTTCTGTGGCATGTTTTGAATCCGTGGAAATTTTCCTTTGGCGTCAGGTTTTCCAGCAGTTACTTACACTCAGTTTTGAAGTAGAATGAAACGGGTTTGATGCTGTTGAACCACTGCTAGATATATGACAAACAGAAATGATGGCATTTTTCCCAGTTCTGCAAACTTCTGGTTCCTTAATCTGTAATATTTTAGTAAAAACTGTGCGTGTACAGTTCTCTGAATGCAGTTGATTTTTTTGTGTTGGGTTTTTTGCCACCAATACAACATTAGACACTGTTGAGACGGTGCTTACATTTCAAGGGCTCTTAGAAAGTAGCAGCTTTTATTCTTTGGATATAAATAAATTTTTTAATGGTTAGCTGAAAGCTTGGGGACCATGTTTTGTTTCTGCAGGACCCAGAATTTGATACATGACTCATAATTTAGTCTCTTCCTTGCTCATTTCACATACAGTCACATTCCGTTAGCTGACTTTTGTGTTGTTCTCATCCATTCAGAACGCCCCAAAGACTCATTAGGAGTTCCATGTCATCATCTCATTCACTAGACACCGCCTGTAATTTTTGACGGGGAGCAAGTGAAAAGATTTACATGTGCAGTAGCCCAGTAAAGCCTGAGAAATGGACTTCATCACATTAAGCGATTAATCACGTCGTTATCTGGAAACTCTAACACATGTCGACACTTGAGTTGAATCTCTTTTTTTTTCCCACCCTTTAATTTTTTTTATTTTTTCACTGATAGCAAAAGAGCCAGATTTCTGAAGACCCTGAGAATGTAAGAGGGTACTTAATTGTGTGGATATTTTCCTTGTTAACACAGAGCGGTTACAGATTAAAAATGCTTATTGATATACTCAAATACTAACTGTGTCGGCTGACGTTGGGATATTGGCCTTACTATTTCTGTGCATGTGTCTTCCAGAGCAATTAATTTTTATCCTGCGGAAGTTGTAGCTAATGACTAAGGTCTACGGACATTCAGTTAGTGAGTAGGCAGGCCTCTACTTCATTTAAAAAAGGAAAAAAATTACCCTCCCCAAACTCTCTAGAGACTTGGCCTTCTTCAACTAACTCATCCTTCTGAGTTCTTAAAATAAACATGACAGTGGCCAGAATCATAAAATAATGTTAGACGAGGGAGTCAGACTGGTTTGGAAGAAAATTCCAGAGATTTCTCATTTGGCTTTCCAGGATGGCTAGAGGGGAATTGTGAGGCTCCCAGCACCAGTCATTGCCTTTTCCGTGAGTGTCCCCTGCTGGCTGGAGGCTCACCAGGCACCACCGAGAAATCCAGATTGTTTGTTGCTCCAGTTGTTGATTCCTCCTGATCTGACCTTCAGGGACAGAGACTGCCCCACTGGGGTCTCCTCAGCTGTCTTCTTTACGAGTTCAATACCAGGTCTTTTCTCCTGGGGAGTCACTGGGAGGGTTCAAACAGCCTACTTTTTGGTTAGCAACTGAGTCATTAACTGTAACCAACTTGTTTCCATAAATGGGCAAGAGCCCCAGAAGTCTTCATTATCTTTTAGTTTCTTATTAATGAAGTGAGGTCCCCCCCACCCCAGTAGCAGTGCTGTTCTTTTCCTTCTTCCCTCTGACCCTCCCAGACAACCTGTGCAGACCTTCCCAGGGGGCTCCCAGAGCCTGGCTTCGAGGTGGACCCCACCAGCTGTGATGCAGGGTGAAAAGATCTGAAACATGCTTGATTTGACTGACCAACCCAAAAGAACAAAACTGACACAAAGGACTCGTGTTCTTCCACCACCTCCTGGCTGCCAGACCAGAAAACTCAAGACTGAGCTTTAAACACCGAGGCTTCCTGTCCGCGCAGCTCCTCCCGCGGTCTGGTGCCCGCTGCCCCGCCCGTCTGCAGGGCTCTCCCTCCTGCCCCCCTCCTGTCCCCTTCCTGCCCCGCCACGCTTCTCCCTCAGCCTTTGCTTTACTTGTCCGCCCCTCCCGGGACCTTCTTCCTGGAGACACGCAGCTTGCTCTGAGAAGGGAGGAACTGTGCAGGGGTTGACCTGTTCACTCTAGTGTTGCTGTGTGCTGTGGACAGGAAGTGGGCCACTAGTGCCCTTCCTGCCATCCCTCAGATGCAGCCGTCTAGCCGTCCGTGTATCCACAGCAGGAGGATCTCTAAATGGGGAGAGGAGCTCGTGCAGAGGATGATGCCTGCTCCCTGGAATGCCACCTTTGATCCTGAGGACACATAGTGTCAATAGGAGATAGGCTTTGTTACCTTGGCATTTTGGGATTCCCAGTCCTGAGGCTGTGACCCTGTATGACATAGGCTGGGCTATGTAAACTTATTACATAAGAAATACGTATACATTTATTTTCTTATCAGGAAAGTCTCCAGCGTAGGCACCTTGGTGCCCCCACAGTGGTCCACTGTTGGCTGGAGTCCTACACTGCTTACTGCTCCATTGTTCTGAGCTTCTTGTCGTTTCTCGTGGCCCTAACCGTGCAGGCTCCTCAGGCTCGCTCTGGGCAGGGATATTTAAAGGAACATGGTCCCTGCATGGTCAGTGCAGCTGGGTCAGTGAGGTGGTATCAGTCCATCAGATGCGGATCTCATGTCCGTGCGGCCTCACGTCGAGATTATTTCGGATAGCTAAGACCCTGTCACACTTAGACCTGCTAGAGAATGTCTCTTGAGTTCTCCAGGTTCTCACTGAGTGTGTGAAGATGGCGTTGGAGACCCTGTGTGGACCTCAGAAGTCTCTAAGCACCAACTCCTTAGGTTCAAATGCATTCTGGTGTGTTGACACCAGTTCTTAGCCCTGCGCTGGTAAGACCTGCTTCATCTTAGGACAGAAACTTCAGATCCTTTGCCCATTCTTGGCACAGTCCTGCAGCATCTGCAGTCGGCTCACCTCCAAGATGAAGACTGTGGAGCGGGCCGGAGGACATGAGTTTGCTGACACTCATGCCAGAGAGGCCACTGGGTGGTATGCCTCAGGTCTGGGTTCTGTATTCCTGTCATCAGGTTTGACATCTGGCCCTTACTTGTATCAGCTCGTATGCCCAAGTGCAAAGATACCTACCCCCTCAAGGACGTCTTAAACATGTTTAGGATTTTAAGTTATCGTTGCCATATTACATACAGTGCTATTTGGGGATGCAATCTATTTTTCCCCCAATCGATTTTTTATAGTCATTGTGGGAGGAGGGAGAAGGGTAGTTTAGAGGAGTATTAACGATTCTAATGTGTGCTGATAAACTTCACTTATCAATATAACTTCTGTTTGGCTGCATGCACCTGACACCGCGCCCCCTGTGCCCACCGTTTCCTTTCTCATTAGATTAGCCCATCTCCCACCTCCCAGCATCATCCCTGCCCCACTGTGTGTGTCCACGCTCCCAGCTCATCCCATTGCCATCCTCATCCTCGCTCCATTCTCACCGGTTGGTCGTTCGGTGGAAGGTGTTGGTGGCTTAGCCTGCATGCCGCTCTTTCCTCTGGTGCTGGCACGTGATGGTGGCACTGTTGTGTTCTCTTCCTCTTCCTTTTACTAACAGACGCAGACCAAACTGGAGCATGCCCGCATTAAGGAGCTTGAACAGAGCCTGCTCTTTGAAAAGACCAAAGCTGACAAACTCCAGAGGGAGTTAGAAGACACTAGGGTAATGGTTTTCACTATTTAACGACGCGGACCCACGTGCGGGAAAGGTGGACACTTGGGCAATGGGCCGTGCCATTGGCCTGACCCAGTGCTTCCACCTGAGTTTGGTCTTGATGTTGGCCAGGAGTTTGTGAGCTTAGAGCGATGGGTGGATGGATTTGTTTTATATCAAATCATCCATGCATTGATTGTCAAGACTCATTTCTTTGGTTAACTCAACCAAAACGGAGGGCAGGACCTTTGCACACAGTGTGGCCCTCTGTGTGACAGGGCCTGGAAGGACGTCCCTCCAGGTAGCCGCACAGCTGCTGTCCTCTCATTCCACAGTCCTGGCTTTCAGGGTTTCCAAATCATCTGTGTCACTGTGTTGCCTACCTGCCTTCTCTGACCCTCCCGGGAGAAGCCGGGAAGCCCCAGTTCGTTTCTAGGACACTTCCCTTCCAGAGATCTGCTGTCCCCGGAGCCGATCCCTTTCTGTAGCTACCTCCTCCTGTCACCTGGGAGGCTGAGATCTCAGTGGTCAGGTGGGACCTACCTGGCTCCCAGGGTTCTGGAGACTGTGACGTTTCTGGGCATCTTTGCTCAGGCACTGGTGGAGTGCCGATGGCATGCCAGGCGTTGTCCTGAGGGCTTTACAAGTCCACCTCTTTCAGGCCCCACAACAGTGCCAACAGGTGCGGTCACTGAGGCACCAGACAGTGCCCCCAAGTCGAGTCTGACTCGCAGACCCTAGTGGACAGACTACAACTGCTGCCCCAGATGATTTTCTCTAATTGGCCCAGGAGCGAAGTGTCAGGTCTTTCCTCCTGTGGCACTGCTGTGGGTTTGAACCACTGACCTTTTGGTTAGGAATCAAGTACTTAACCAGTGCAAGTCTAGTCTGTTTTACCACCTAGCCCCCAAACCAGGCCCCTCGAGTTGATTCCAGCCCCTGGCGACCCGCTGTCAGTTCCTGAGGTTACAGATCCTTACCTGAGGACTGCCCATTTTCTTGTCTCTGAGTGGAGGTGGATTTGAACTGCTGATCTTTAAGTTAGTAGCACAACACAGAAAGTCCTGAGCTTCCAGCACACCTGCCTCAGCACTTGAGAGACTAGACAATAACCAAAATGAAAAGGAAGAGATAATGTAAGAATGACTGCTCAGTTCTTCCTCACTGTCCTCCCCTCAGGATACGTATCCAATGGACCTGACTCGGCCGAAAGGGACGCTTATGCATAAGAGTGTGTTTTAGGCACATGAGTATTCATACAGCACTGCACACAATAGCTAACACTGTCAACAACTTCAGTATCTATCTGCTGGTGAACGGAGAAATGAAGTATGCTCTTTGGCAACTCAGGACGGACCCACAGGACAGAGTAGAGTTGGTTTCAAAGTTCTAAGTCTTTATTGAAGCCGATTGCACATCCTTCTACCAAGGGGTGGATTTGAACCACTGATCTTTCAGTAAAAGTCAAATAATTAACCCCTCCGGCCCCAGAGCACCCAGTGGGGCACAGAGAAGTAAAGTAATTTTTTGAGTGAGAGGTCATGCAAAAGCCATTGTAGAACTAAGATTTTCATGCAGACGTTTGACTCCAGATTCCGTGTTCTCAGCCACCACTGGAGGGAGTCCACCTGGCTCTAGTTTTGCACTGTACGCTCTAACATTTGTGGCTCTGAGTAGTTTTCATGTGAAAAAATATGTACCCATGAATGCATTTGAGTTTCTGAATCTGACTGTCAGTAAATTGTCCAGACCTTGTTTTTCACTCATGTACATTGTGTTTTATAGACTCATTCGCAGTTAGTGTGTTTCATAGACTTTATATTTAAAATGTAAAAAATTAATGTCCCTGATGAGATAGATTTAGTCTCTCGGTGTAGAAGTTTCCATTGAAGAGAACTCCTGATGAATCTGAAAATCTAGACAACTGGGTAACTTTTCTTCTCTCAAGGTTTTAAAGGTTTTCCTCTGGTGTGTTTGATGGTGATGAACAAAATCAGTCGTGGCATTTTGGGGCCATTTCTTCATTAGCCGAGAACCAGAGCTCATGGAATGTCATTCCTTTCAGGGGCTGATGAGATAACGATTTTTTTTCTTAAAATTCTGATTCTTCGCCAGTGTCGTAACTTTGTGAGCAAACCTTTACTGTTTGTTTCTGTGGATGAGAAGATACCTGCTCACAGTGTGACTTGAGCCCAACAGGCCAGGTTCCAGCGTCTGTGTTTCACCGTGGTCACTGTGTTCTCCTCCAGGCCTTGTCTTCTGGTCTCCCAAGCAGCGAGGTGGCGTAAAACCGAGTGACCTCCTGACTTCAGCACTCCTGTCTCATTTTAGGAAGTGCTTTAGAATTCAAGAGTCATAGCAGAGCGGTGGTTAAGTGCTCATCTGTTAACCCAGATTGAGCAGGTCAGAGTCGTTGGCCACTCTACCAGGAGAAGGGTGTGATGGGCAGCTTCTTCAAGTTCAAGCTCACAGATTGCCCTTGAGTTGATTCTGACTTAGCGACCCGCCATGAGAATTCCAGCCTGGACAACCCTGTGGGCAGTCTCTTTGTCCCAGGGTTGCTTTGCATCAGAATTGACTTGCCAGCAGCGATGGTGGCTTTTGGTGGGTTTTTTAGGATTCCTCTAAATGAACGTGTCCAGTTTGTTCACAGTGTGCTTAGTGCAATAGAGATACTAGCAAGCATAAGACATGATCAGCCTTCCTTTGGGGAGGGCAAGGCAGGGATAGCCTCACATGCAGGCTTGGGAGATGAGACAGAAAGGGAAAGCTGTGGAAATGCCATGCACAGTAAAACCATCTTGTTCTTTATTTCCACTTGGCATTTTCTCGATTTCACAGGTTTGTGACTGTTTAGGTGCTATTGCCACACTGGGCTTATTTTTTCTCTCTATTTCAGATTTAAGAGTGAGGTTTCTTAGTATTTTACACCGTATTTATAGTTGTTGTTTGTTGTTACCTACCATCGAGTTGCAACCTACTCATAGCTGACCCTCCTGCGGGTGCTAAGAGGCTGTAAACAGCCTGGGAGGACACTGCCCAGCGTTGTGTAACAGTTAGTGCTAATAAACTCTTTAGAGTCCCCTCCCCAGATGGAAGGAGAAACACAAAACAGAACAAAAATGGGTAAATGAATGAGCACAAAGCGAAGGAGTTGTGCAGAAGGGCTCGATTATGGGTTCTGGTAGTCCAGGGGCTGGCTTCTCCTCTTCTGCTGGGGACATTGTCATTAAAATCAGCATCGCAGCCCAAGGTGACACATGGTGAAAGCAGGGCGTAGTGGGAGCCTGAGGGATGTTTTGGGGTCATAGAAATGTTCTCAGATTGAATGGTGGTTGTGATGTTTGCAATTCTCTAAAGCTATTTTTAAATAATCTAATTTTACACTTAAAATGGATGGATATTATGGTTTTTATATGATACTTCAGTACAGTTATTGAAAAAAGAAAAGACAGTGTAGATGTTGTTGTTGTTGTTGTTTGCCATTGAGTCAGAACTGACTCATAGCTGACCCTCAGTGGGTTTTCAGAGGCTGTAAATGGCACTGGAGGAGACTGCCTACCTTTTTTCGATGGCGCAATTGGAGGATTCGATCCACATGCTTTTGGGTTGGCAGTGCAACTCTCTAGCAGTAGGCCTCAGACCTCCGTGTCAGTATCGAGGCGTAACCTGCAGTCCGGGGCTTCTGAGTGTTTTCACCTGATTCCTGTCCCCTAGGTCAGTTAGCCTTTCTGTGTAAGTGTGAGGCTCTGTTTCCCACGTGCTCTGGACTGGACTGACGGCTCAGCACGTAGCACAGGGAATCGTTTTCTCAGAATGATCAGGAAAGCGCTTCTCCTAGTCCTGAGGGGTCTGTTCACAAAAACAAAACAAAAGTGCAGATCTCGAGGGGAGATAGGATCTGAGCTGGGCGTCTCAGCCGAGAGGACCTGGGGATCGGCATGTCCACACATGCACACTGACCACGCTGAGACCTGAGAGCCGCTGGGGGAGGGGGCAGGATGCACACGGCAGTGTGCTGGGGACTTCTCAGGGGAAGCGAGGGCAAGCCTGTGTACAATTGCAGGTAAGTGACCGTTTCTACTTTGTCTGTTACAGATATTTTTTAAAGGTTAATGAATTATTTATCACTTAATCAAAGTTTGTATCGTAGAGTTGATAATTCTATAGTTGTCAGTTTAGGTCTTTTATAAGATCCCAGGTGAGATGGATTTGATGCAGTAACTGGAGCAACGGGGATTGGTGTGTCAGAGTTAGTGGGACTGGCTCAAGACAGGGAAGGATTCAGAACTGCAGTGGCACATAACAGTAACACACTATGACCTCCTAAGTAACATGCCTCCGGAAACTATGAACTTTAATAAATATTGATGGTTGTACAGGGGCTTCAGGCCTTTTGTTCATAGGATTGCTATGAGTTGTGCTTGACTCAAAGGCAATCAATGATGACAGATTAGCACAATTCAATAGAAGCATAATACAAACCACATATTTTTAATTTTTTGGCATACCCATTAACTAATAGGTTAAACAGTAAAAAGAAACAGGAAATTCATTTCCATATGTATTATCTTTAAATCACTGTCTTTAAAAGACTGCTTCCTGTGCTTGCTCTTATTGTACTGTTGACTCAGAATCAACTCAGCTCATCCTCCAGCAGGTTGTCTGAGGCAATAAATTGCACAGGAAGAGAATGCCCACCTTTCTGCTATGGAGCAGCTGGTGGATTCAAACCTCCTGCCTTTGACTTGGGAGCGCAGTTTCTTGCCACTAAGCCACCAGAGCTTCCTGACTTATTATGTCCTCAATGAAAAATTATGAATTAAGCACTTGATGTTCTCTTTCCCTCTAAGTCTTCCAGATGTGATGTGTGTAGTGCTCAGGGACCACACGTGTCTGGTGACATGTGTATGAGCCAGCAGAGCTCTGAGCGATCACCTCCACAGACGGAGCACGAGGGACACATCCCAGTGCAGGAGGTGACCCCAGCTGGCAAGACAAAGCACGCCTCCTTCCGGAAGGCAGCTACCTCGGCCCCCCTTAACTCATCGGTGAATGGTTAGGTCTGCGATTTACACTGCTTCAGAGAGGAAAAGAAAAACCTGTGCTCTTGGTTCCGTGAGCACAGTGAGATGGTGGCACGTTACCAGTGACGACGGTTTTGAATCAGAGGTGCACTTGATGGGCATTGCTGCGTTTACAGGTACATGTTGTTGTTGTTAGGTGCTGTCACGCTGAGGACAGCCCATAGTCGCCCGTGAACAGCAGATCTGAGCTCTGTCCTGTCCTGTGCCGTCAGCATACTTCCTGACACCTTAGAGCCCGTTGTGGCCATCACCATGTCAACTGACCGAGCATCTTCTCCTTCACTGACCCTCTGCCTTTCCCAGCATCATGTCCTTCTCCGAGGAGTAGCCCCTCCTAGTAACATGCCCAAAGTATGTGAGGTGAAGCCACATCATCCTTGCCTTCAAAGATTATGCTGGCTGCACCCTCTCTAAGACGCATTTGTTTGTTCTTTTGGAAGTCCATGGGTTGTTCGGCATTCTTCTCCAACACCACAGCTGAAAGGCATCAGTTCGTCTTTTGTTGTCAATATTCATTGTTCAGCTCTCAGATGCACAGCAAGTGATTGGAAAGACCATGGCCTGAATCAGATACACCTTAGTCCTTAAACTGACATCATTACTCCTCCATAATTTAGAAATGTCCCTAACTGCAGCCTTGCCTAGTGCAGTATGTCCTGATTTCCTGACTGCGAGTACCAAAGGAATATGCAGTAGTACCACTTGGTACCTAGATAGATACATGAAGATGTAGGAATTTCTAACAGTTTGCTTTCTGAGTCTGAGCTCAGTATTTAGATCTTTGAGGTTAAAGAAAGCTGTTGCAATTTTTATTTAAATGCTCTCTTTTTCTTTGGACTATTGTTCATAGGTGGCGACAGTGTCAGAAAAGTCTCGTATCATGGAGCTAGAGAAAGACCTAGCGTTGAGAGTTCAGGAGGTGGCTGAGCTCCGAAGAAGGCTGGAGGCCAGTAAGCCAGCCGGTGACGTGGATATGTCCCTTTCCCTTTTGCAAGAGATCAGCTCTTTGCAAGAAAAGCTAGAAACCACCCATACTGACCACCAGAAAGAAGTGGCTTCTCTGAAGGACTACTTCAGCTCCCGGGAAGAAACACACCAGAAAGAGTTCAAGGCCCTTCACACAGCCACAGAGAAGCTTTCCAAGGAGAACGAGTCCTTGAAAAGCAAGCTTGACCATGCCAACAAGGAAAATTCAGATGTGATCGCCCTGTGGAAGTCCAAGCTGGAGACTGCCATCGCGTCCCATCAGCAGGCGATGGAGGAACTGAAGGTGTCCTTCAGCAAGGGGGTGGGGACCGAGACAGCAGAACTGGCGGAGTTAAAAACACACATCGAGAAACTGAGGCTAGAGTACCAGCATGAGATCGAAACTCTGCAGAGTAAGCAGGATTCGGAACGGTCTGCTCATGCCAAAGAGATCGAAGCCCTCCGGGCCAGCCTCATGAAAGTGGTTAAGGAGAAGGAGAACAGTCTAGAAGCCATAACCTCGAAGCTGGACAGAGCGGAAGAGCAGCATCTCGTCGAAATGGAAGACACGTTAAACAAGCTTCAGGAAGCAGAAATAAAGGTAAAGGCACTAGAGGCCCTGCAGACCAAATGCAATGAACAGGCCGAGGTTATTGATAATTTTACATCACAGCTCAAGGCTGCTGAAGAGAAGCTCTCAGATCTCGATGCACTCCGGAAGACCAGCTCTGAAGGTAAATCGGAAAATGAGAAACTTAGACAGCAGCTCGAGACAGCCGAGAATCAGATTAAACATTTACAGATTGAAAAGGATGCTGAAAGTGACAAGGTTTGTATCGACATCTTCCATCTTTTGGTTTTCCATTTGTTCTTATTTTGCATCATGTGTTTTCAGTTGAGGCCGTTCATCCTCCAGACCCCTGATTTAATTAAGACAAAATATTTGGTGGTAACGTTTTCCAGTTGAGCTTACTGTCTTCTTTCTGAAGGTCTTGAGTATGGTCTTATCTGAGAGGATTAAGGAACATGCACTTCAGCTCTGAGTAGTGATGTTGAATATAGATTTTCTACCTAGTTACTCTGTGCCTGGATTATGTTTCAGTCACCTGTTTGAGCTGGGTTCTGGTCCATAGTTCGTTTTTGCAATAGAGAATCTTTCTAAGTTGATGGTGTTGAGTTAAAGTACAAGAATCGATTAAAACAGACACTGAGAGAGTGAACTCCTCCTTCTTCCCCATCTGCACTGTTGCCTTGCCCTCGCCAGTCCACGGTCATAGCAAGTGTATAGACGGGTCGGACTGCCCGTGGGGCTCCGAGGCTGTCCATCTTGACACAATTCGAAGCCCACATCTCCCTTCCATAGAACAATTGCTGGGTTCAGATCACGGGCTTTGAGATTGGCAGCCTTGCCTCTGCTGTTCTGGTGAAAAACAGAAGGGAGAACCTGAGTACTGCTAACTATTCCATGACACACACTATTCTCCGCAGAATTCAGGCCAGGAGCCTGGCGGCCTCAAGGTTGCCACTGCCTCTCTCACAGGAGTTTATCCTGCTTCATCATGACAACTCCCAACTGTTGCCCACATTTTTTGAGGAAATTACTGTGTAAGTGTGTTTTAGCCAGGGGAAAAAAAAATTAAGTGATGACATCTTCGGCGTCCATGCTTCCCAGCTGGGCGTGCTGAACTCCGTGTTCATTGAAAGGGAGGTTGGATGAGTCCATGCTCTCCTTAGTCCTCCGGCTGTTAGTCAGGGTTCCTGCTGGTGTTCCGAGCTTTCTTCCGGAGAAGCTGCCCTATTGGCAAAGGAAGAAGAGCTGTGAGGGTGACTAGGGAACGTGTGAGGACACACAAACCTTAAGACGCTGCTGAGTAACCCTCCTTAAAGATGATAAATTGATTACAGGACATTTTTCTTCAGCCTGCTACTGAGGTTCCCAAAACACCAGGCAAAATAAAAATATAATTAGGAAAGATTAACGAAGAGCAAATAGTCGGGCTCTTTGTATAAACACCAGGATTTACTAAAAATCCAAATTCTGATGACTGTTGTTGGATTTCTAAAATGTATTGAGATAATTTAAACATACAAAAGCCCAAGAAATAGTATTACAAACAACATGTACTCACCATCTATAGCTTAAAAAGTATAAAACCCAAGAAAAGACAGGACTTCAGTGATTTATCTAAAAGCATATTTCTGTACTTCCTTCTGAGAGTAGTTCGTAGCCGAGAGAGTGGCGTGGGTGAGGAATCTGTTTTGGCCACTTTAAAGCAGCCGTTAGCTAGCCGTATCCAGCACTGAGTCTTTAAAAGTCCTAATTAAAAAGCACCGTGTACCGATGCCTGTATTCTTTTCAGTTTTGTTTTGTTCCATTTGTCTCTCTTCAGTTTTTCATGTGTTTTTGTTTTGTTTCCCTTTTTCATTCATTATGTTTCCTTTTGTTCATCTGCCTCTACACCGTGTAATTCCGTATATTAGACTCAGAGCATTACCAAAGAGCTCCAGGAGAAGGAGCTCTTGTTCACGAACCTTCAGGAAAAGTTTCGTGATGTCAGTGAAGTCAAAGAGGCTTTGGAGAAGGAGCTTCAGGTTTTGGTAAGTACGGCTGGCAGCTGTGAGCCCCAGAGTGCAGGGCGCCTGTTCCCGTCTGAAAACCAAACGTCTTCACGGAGGAGAACATCCTGGGGTGATCCCTGTCTCCTTCAGAGTGTCGGTTTAAACGCAGCTTACTAGTTTCTCTCTGAGAACACCTTGAAGGGAATAGGTTCAAACCCAAACTAGCAGCAAAGGTAGGTATGACTGTAAAATCTCTGGGAATGCACTGCTTCCGAATGTTAGTGACTCCTCGGTGCCATCGAGTTGATTCCAGCTCTTGGTGACCCTGTGGGACAGAGTGCAAGTGGCCTCTAGGATCTCCAGTGTGAATCTTCACAGAAGCACAGTACCTCCCCATTTTCTTGGCAGAGCAGCGGGAGGGGGGGTGTCTAACTTGACCATGGTACTTCCTGGGCTCTATTAAGACCACTTTAGAGACAGCTTCGTGTTAATCACGCAGCCGACACAGGGGTGTGTCGTCCGTGATGAGGACATGTCTGTGTGTCTGTCTTTGGCATCAGGGCTGTGTGAGCAGCGCCCCACTCTGGGTCACCAGCACGCTCTGTGGGTGAGGTGGACTGCTGGCTACCAGTCCAGTCAGTGAAAGGCGTTCTTTCTGACAAGTTCATTCTACTTCAGGAAATTACTTTTCTTTTCATACTTATTCCTCATTGTAACTTTTCTGCTTCCTGCCTGCCACTTGCACCAACAGCACAAGCTTCATCCGGGCTCGTTAGCGTGAGCAAGGCCAGCAGCTTTGGTACATTGCTGCCGGCTGGCGAGAAGGAAAATCCTAGGTTTCTAGAGGAAGCAGATAAACAGTAGCTGCAAAGGATCAGTTGTCACCAATTCCCAAGCCTACTTGTTTGCTAACACCAGTGGTAAACCCAAGTTGTGGGTTCCCCCCCCCCCAGTTATTTGAATACTAATACTACAAATTTCTACCTTTTTCCCCCCCTATGGTAAGTATATAGCCCTGCCAACTTAAATCATAAAAATGGAAAGTTGAACTCCTCAGCTGAACACATTGTAAGTGTTCAATAGCCACAGGTAGCTAGTGGCCACTAAGTTGACCAGTACAGTACAAGAACTTTTCCATCATGACCGGAAGTTCTGGTATTTTGGCTACATTTTGAGCAGTAGTTGGTCTGGGAATGACCATTTTGTCATGTAGGGGTTTTTCCCCTAAGAAAGTGGTTTTCAGGGAGCTCTGGTGGCCTAGTGGCAAGACACTGCACTGCAGTCTCAGAGGTACATGGTTCAAATCCACCAGATGCTCTGCTGGAGAAGGAGGGGGCAACCTCCTCCTGTACCAGTCAGATCTGATTTGACGGTACATGTAAAAATAATACAATAAAAATTTAAAAAAAAGAAAGTGGTTTTCTGTTTTAGTTCCATGTCCGTTGTTCCTCCCCCTGGATGCCTTAGAATTCCTTCTAGGCCTGGTTTGGCATAACATGGGAAATACCCCTGTGGGTGGATGTTTGGTGTGTTTGCCCATCTCTTTAGTCCCAGTAAGTTTGAAATTGCCATTGATAAAATATATCTAAATAGAGAAATTGAAGGTGTCTTAAGAAATTTCTCCTAGGTGATCTAGCCCAAAGTTCACCTCAGGACAGACAAGAGTGGTTTGCTTTTGGCCTGTTGTGTTTGATTGTGACAGTAGATAAGCAAAAGGCCATCCAAGCGTAAAGTACTCAGTGGGTTCAAGCTATTAGGCTTGGGTTTCTCAAAAAACATTTCACCACTCTGTTCACTGTGTCAGACTGACTTCTGAAGAGCAGGTTTGCTGCTCAAGGGGACCGGCATGAGGAGGAAGGACAGACGCGCCCCCACGTCACCGTGGGTTTACACGTATGTGTGCGCACATGGGCATATATACCCGTGCACGCATGCAGCCGTGTCCAGCAGCTGTGCTCATGCACCTTCGTGCGTGCACAGTGTGCATCCCGGTGGTTGCCATTACTCTCTGTGTGAAGTTCATCTTCATGAAACCGAGCCAGCGACAAAAAATATTGTTGTAGGGATAACTGATAGAAAAGTTTGTCTTCACATTTTGTCTTGAAATCTTCTATTCTGACCATCCTGTTCTTTGTCTTTAGAAAGAAAAGTTTGCTGAAGCTTCTGAGGAGGCGGTCTCTGTGCAGAGCAGTATGAAAGGTGTGTCCCCGCTTTCCAGGTACCCAGAGGTGGCTGGGGAGACTGTACGTACAAAGGCAACACTTCCACGTTAGTCTGATTTCACTCTCCCGGAAGTTGCTGCAGCTCGGAGGATCCCTGGGTTCCACTGGCTTCTTGAAGCCGCAGACTCCCCACTCTTTGTTTATTCTTTTAGCTCCAGGCTTGTTCAGTGTTAGAATGTAAGTGTACTTAGGAGGAGCACTATTGTGTTTAAGCTGCTGCCGTGGGCATCTTCCTGACCTACAGGCCATGGAGATGCCTCGTTGCCTCCTCATAATCCTGTTCACTTACTCATTCACCCGTTTCTGTGTCAATCACTGTTAAGAGGTTCTAGTCAGGAACTGAGGATGCAGCTCTTGGAACAGGACAGCCTCTTCTCGGCTGGAAGCAAGTGTCTCTTTGGGCCACAACCCGTCAGCTGGACCTCGGCTCTGCTAAGACAAGTGTTCCAAAGCTTGTATAGCCCTTACGCACCCCCACACCCCCAGTAAACCAGGGGCCTGAGGTGCTCAGCTCCGGTCCCAAGGGCTCCATGAAGTCCCTCCTCTGCCAGCTGACCTCCTGCCGTAGGGCACTTAGCTTTCAGGCTGTCGTCTCCCTCGGGCTCCCGGTTCTGCCACTGTCTCAGCGTGGCCAGGGTTAGAGCTCACTCGCTTGCTCTCCTGGACTACAGAGCTTCGCAGCACAAGGATCTTGAGTTCAGAGGATACGCCCCACTCCTGGCTCTTTGTTCTTGAGAATCATGGTTACCTCAGTATAGCACTTTTCTAGCTTTTTCATGTTGTCATTTGGTTTAAATGGGATTTTGTAGTATACTGTGGTGGTTGTTCTGAGCTGTTGAGTCGGAGCTGACCCATAACTGACCCTCCAGAGGGTTTTCAGAGGAAGTTAATCAGATGTGAGGAAAAAAGCACATGATTTAATTTGTCTATACGACAGCCAAGCTCTGGACGGCTTACGAAGTAAGAAGTGCCTTAAACTTTTTACTTTTTCTCAATAGAAACCGTAAACCAATTACACCTAAAAGAGGAACAGTTTAATGCATTATCCTCTGAATTGGAGAAGCTGAGAGAAAATCTAGCAGGTAAGAAGATATCTCCCATAGCTGTGCATTAAGTACGATAGAACTGGAACTGACTATTGAAATATTCAAACTTAGTCTCTTCACTGTTACTGTGATATAATATGATAAAATAACTCTTGGAGGGGAGCTCTGGTGGCCTAGTGGCAAGAAGTTGCACTGCAATCCCAGAGGAACACGGTTCGAATCCACCAGATGCTCTGCCGGAGAAGGAGGCGCAATCTCCTCCTGTACCAGTCAGATCTGATTTGACGGTACACGCACACAAAATAATAAAATTTAAAAAAAAAACAACAAACAAACAAAAAAAATAACTCTTGGAGATGTGTGACCTTCTGCAAGTGCTATTTGCTTCATCTTCAGTGTGTAGCAAGAATTTAAGCTGTTCTGTCCATGACTGCTTCCACTGTTGTCCCGGAAGCCGGGGACCAGCACCTTGATGTGACAAGTGTGACAGCCGACCTGCTTCTCCCCTGGCTGCTCTTCCCGTGCCTTTCAGTCTGCACAGCAACCCGAGCAGCGCCTCCCCACCCCCCACTCACTCATTGTTGCACCGCGTGCAGGGCAGTGGTTTTGGTGGGTTGGTTTTGTCTGTTACGTCTTTAACGTCACCTCTCAGCCAACCCTCCCCTCATTCATTCTGCCTCGGCCATGTCCTCCCATCTGCCCCCCATCAGACTGGTCCTGCCTCACAGCCTTTGCGCCTGCTTGACCTCCCACTGCTGTCCTCCTTCCTCTCCAGAAGTCCACAGGCGCCTCACTCCCTCTCTGCCTTCAAGAACCAAAGAATTCAGCCCCCACCACATATTTATCTTTTTCCTCTTATTTTTTTATCTAGTTACTTTTAAAATTTTTACTTCTTTCTTAGGAGTCTTCTTTGATAGATCTATTCCTGAGGGCAGGAGGGATTGCTAGATGTATGTACAGGGGGCCCCAGGAGATTTCTGTTGGTCCCCAGAAGTCACCTTTGAAACTTCACGTTAAAAGCTCAATAAAGTAGAGAATGGTTTTCCTGAGTCCTGTCCTCTCTATGCTGAAGCCTGGCTGGGGAGGCTCCAGGCAGTGAGACATAGTGACCAGGGTGAGAGCTCCTAGGTGGAAGAGACACTGAGAATGAAGAGTGAGCTAGTGTCAGTGCAGAACATGTGCACGCTTGTCGCTCTGTGTCCATTTTCACCAAAAGTGCAAGAAAATATCTTGTAAAGATTTGTTGATTAAAATCTGCTGTCCTTGTTTTCTTCCCGCCCTGTACGCATTCAGATATGGAGGCCAAATTCAGAGAGAGAGATGAACGAGAAACGCAGCTGATAACGGCGAAAGAGAAACTGGAGAACGACATTGCGGAAATCATGAAGATGTCTGGAGATCATTCCTCTCAGCTGACAAGAATGAACGACGAGCTGCGCCTGAAGGAGAAGTACGTACGTGCGTGTTCCTGGCGGTGTCGAGATTGGGCTGGGGCCAGTTCCTCGGGGGAGGAGAGCCACCGTCCGGTAGCCTGGCTAGTACAGCCCGTGGGGCACAGAGAACAGCCCTGCGGGGTCTCCAAGCCTCACAGGCACAGGCTGCTTCCTCGTGGCTCCGGTCAGCCACACTAAGAGTTGAGTCCAACTCAGCAGCAGTGGGTGGGGGTTTCGTTATGTTTGAAAATGTCCTCTTATTTCTGTTATTATCTCTGTATACTCTGCTTCGTGCGTCTGTTGGCCACCCGAATATCTTCTCTGTGAAAGATCTTTCTATGTCCCTTACCCATTTTGTAGGTGGGTTAACAGTCTTTTTCTTGGTCCTGAGCGTTCTGTATACTTTTGTTATGAGATCCTTGTTTGAGATTTCATTTCCGAATGTTTTTTCCTATTTAGTAGGTTTTCTTTTCACTCTGTTGGAAAATGTTTTTTGATGTGCACCTTTAGAAGGTCCCACTCATTAATTTTATATTATTACCTCTGTACACTCTTGAATAAACTAGTTAATTTTCTAAAATAGGCTTTTACCCATTCTACTAGCCAAGAAAGAGACTTCCTTTAGAAGCCTTTTGATACCTTATAAAGAAAACATCAGTAGCTTATCAATACCAGTATCATGTTTTAGATGCTAGAAAATATTTTCAGAATTTAGTGGTAAACCCATACCCATTGCCGACAAGTAGATTCCCACTCACGGTGACTTTGTCAGACAGAATACAGCCGCCCCGAGGGTTTCCAAGGATGTATGTCTTTGGGAAAAGGTGCTACCCCATTGTTCTCCTCAGGGTGGCTGGTCGGTTTGAACTGCTGAGCCTTCAGTTAACAGCCAAACGTTTCTCGGCTGTGCTCCAGGGCTCCTCACGCAGCGGCAGGCACGTTGCTGGGGGCCGTGAGTGGACCTCTGTGTAAGAGTGAGACCTGATCCTTGCCCGGCCTCACAGCTGCTGCTGTGTCCCCACCACTGTGTCGGGCAGTCTTCTGGATGTCTTCCTGTCCGCACTGCCCGTTTCTTTGCCAAGCAGGGTGCTCGCCTCCAGGGCTTGCCCGTTCCCGATGACAGGTTCAACCTGTGTGAGACAAAATCTCACCACCCTCTTTCCTCACGAGTCTGGCAGCCCTTCTGAGCCCAGTGTTTGTTCTTGTGGTCTCGCTCCCTCTGCCTGGCTCATAGTGACGCGTAGTGACCCTCCCTGGCCTTTCCCACACTCAGTCCTAACTGATGGGAGGAGACTGCCCAGCTCTCTCCCGAGGAGCGCTTTGTGGATTTGAACCGCCCGAGATGAGCAGCCGTTCGGTGAGCAGTTCAGTGCACAGCTCCTGCTGTGGTTTTGGCAGTCCGTGGTACATTCCACGTTCTTCACCCACATCACAGTGAAAGGGGTCCATTCTTCTTAGATCTTCCTGATTCTTGAAGGACCTTGGTCTTACAGTGGTTAGAGTATTAGGCTGTTAGCCAGAAGCGTGGGACTTTGAAGCCACCAGCGGGTCTGCAGGAGGAAGATGAGGCAGCCTGTTTCCCTGCAGATTTGCAGCCTTGGGAAGCTGTGAGGCTGTCTGTCCTCTGGTCTGCATATTGCTGAGCTTGAGGCTGTCTGTCCTCTGGTCTGCATGTTGCTGTGTGTCGGGCCGCACAGCCGCAGGAATCTTCCTGAGTGCCGTGCTCTGCTCTGGTGGCGTGCTGTGTAGTGCTCGGCCCTATTGACTGAAAGGTGGTCAGTTCAGTCACTCACTGCTCTGGGGGAGGAAGACCAGGGTTCCCTCGTGTTGCGATTTCCAGTCTTGGAGATCTGCAGGTGGGCTGCTCGGGTGGCAGCAGCTCGATAGCATTGGGTACGTAACGACTTTCTGTGAGGGGATTTTCTAGTTCTCACAGTAACCTTATGCAGTGACTATATTATAACCATTGTCAGGGAAAAGACATTGATTGGTGCTCACTGAGGACCTGACCTGAGGTGATGCAGCGTGGTGTGGCAGCGCTGGACTTCTGAGTGACAGTCTGGTTCAGGGCCCGGCCGCGCTTCTTTGCTCTGAGCACAGGCAGACTGCTTTGCAGAGCCTCCTTGTAGTGTGCATGGCAGCCATGGTGTCCTTCCTTCCTTCCACCTGGAGCGTTTGTCACAGCCTTTCCTCTTTCCACAGCATGTGCTCTCTTCATGTCTCTGTGTCCCACGTGGTCATTCTGACAGTATTTCACTCTGTTTCATGAAGCACCTGTGTGCTTAATAGATAATACTGTGGTATCCATACAGCTTATATGCCTGGGAAGACAAAGCGTTCATGTGATTCACTCATAGTATTTACTCTGTGGCAGGGGTCTGGAGCCAGACCTGTAGCATCTCCAAGCTCTGCTGTGCCTGTTCTGATCCCTGCATTGATGTTCCCTTTGCTTTGGTGGCTTGCTTTTAATAGTTCTTCTCTGAAATAAAAGAAATGAAATAAATTAAACCCCTTTCTTTTATGAGGTCAGAGCTCTCAGAGGACCTGTGCAGTTCTACCTCTTGAGGTGTTGTCGCTGGCAAAGCTTATTCACCCATCCCCATTTCACAGCCAGCAAGAGGGTGCTGGCTAGGCCTCCACTGGACTCCCTTGTGGGACTGCCTGGGAGGGTGGTACGCTTTCATGGAGGACTGGGCACCCCTTTGAGAGAGGTTCCGTTTTGGTGGACGTTTGTAGGTGTGGGGCCCAGAGGTAACAGCCTGGTTTCTCCTGTGCATTTGCTGATTGCTGTGTAGCCCGTGGTCCAGATGTGGGGGTCTGCATTCTCTGTACATCTCTGTTGACAGCATGGTTGTTTTTAAATAGAACTTTGAATCATGTACTATTATTGTTACTTTTCTTTCATTGTTAGAAGGCTCTAAAATGATATTTTATAATCTGGTATGCAAAAATGTTGAAATTTTCCAAATACTCCTTTGATTTAATATGCTGGGGAGCCCTGGTGGTGTGGAACCAACGTTCCGTGGTTTCCCCACTGGCCGCCCCTGTGAGGAGACGTGGCTGTCCACATCCGTGAAGCTTTCCAAGCTCGGGAGCACTGTGCCCAGTGCTGCTTTGTCTGCTGGGTCCCTGGCATTGACTGGACGGTGGGGAATTCGGTTAATATGCTAATCTTTAACTTATTTTCTGTATTGATCTATTTGTGTGAAATAATAAGCCTTCATAATTACTCAAAACTCATTGCTGTTGAGTCAGAACTGACTCAGCTGACCCTGCCCTAGGATTTTGGAGGCAGGAAATTGTCTATTTTTCTGCTTAGAGATGCTGGTGGGTTCAGAGAGATGCGGCTTTGAGTTCATAGTGAACTTCCTGTGGACTCTACCACCAGATAGCAATAGTCGCTGGGCTAGTTGGCTTGACTCCCACCAGATGCTCTGAGAGAAAAGTGGACAGTCTCCTGTGCGCTTTCGAGCCTCTGAAAAACTCACTGGAGAATGTGCTGTGGTTCGGCTTCCCTTCAACAACACACGGGAACAACAATGTGGACTGTAAATATTACAGCTACCGAACTTGTTAAAATAATTCTCCAGGGCACCGCCAGACGCTCTGCTGGAGAAGGAGGGGCAATCTCCTCCTACCAGTCAGACCCGTTTTGACGGTACACACGCAAAATACAGTAAAAGAAAATAAAAAAAGTTCTCCAGGGCACAAGTCATATTATTGTTTTTGTCTGTTTCTGATTTGAGTAATACTCTTTATACACATTAGCATAATTACTAGCATCTTTTAAAATAATCATTGAAGAAATTAAAGCATGCCCATGAAAACCCTGACTCCTTATTTCTAGATATGTGGAAGAATTACAGCAGAGACTTTCCAAGGCAAACGACAGTGCAAACATCCTGCAGAAGACCATTGGGGAACTGACCCTCCAAGCCAAACAGAGCCAGCAGGAGGCAACGCGGAAGCATGAGGAGGAGAAGCAAGAGCTGCAGAGGGAGCTGCTGGAGATGGTAAGGACCGCTGGCGTGGCCACGGGCAGGCAGGCCCCCGCACACGCGGCGTGACTCCTCTGCTTGCATTTCTGCAGGAGAAGAGGATGGAGGCCAGCCACAACCAGTGTCAGGACTTGAAGGCCAGGTACGAGAAAGCCAGTTCTGAGACGCAGGCGAAGCATGCCGACGTCCTGCAGAACCTCCACAGGGTGCTCTCAGACACCGAGCAGAAGCTGAAGGCTGCGCAGCAGGAGAACAGTGACCTGTTGAAGGAGATGGAGGAGCTGAAGAAACAAGCCGACAAAGCCAAGGTCAGTTTCCCGGGCTCCTCGTGCTCTTGCATTGCACTCACGCTGGCTCTGCAACCAGGCCGCAGTGGGCTTCGCAAACAGCAGCTGCTAGGACAGGTGAACCTCTGAGACCCTGGCAGTGTAGTGAGTGAGCTTTCCTCCCATGGCCAGTGTTTTCTCCAAACTGCTGTTCTTGTCTGGGGATGGTGATGGCTCCAGACCTTTGCCCTGAATGGACCAGGTAGCCGTCCCCCAACTTTCTGCCCGTCTCCCAGCTGCCGCAAATACTCTTCTGTTGTGAGCTCTGTCTGCCTGCTTGCAGTCTGCTGTGGGGTGTGGGGAAGCATGCTCCTCTGATCCTAGCCACTGCCACTGCCACTGCCACCATGCGCCAGGGTCAAGGGAGACGGGTTGCAGACAAACAACAAGAAACCAGTGAGCAGCAGCAGAGCCCTGCGTGAGCAGAGACGTGGAGCCCTGCAGAGGGGAGCTGGGACCAGAGAGCTTGTAGAACAGGGAGAGTAGACTGCAGTAGGGAGGGCCTGCTTTTCCATGTCCCCAGGAAGGATTTGTGAGCGTAACGACAAGGAAGCTAGATTTGAGGACACTGAGGAAATCTGCTGCTACTAAATGAAGTAGAACTTGACAGAATGAGTTGCATTTTATGGTTGCTGTTTGTTATGTGCCATCGAGTTGCTTGCGACTCATAGTGACCGTATATACAAGAGCCCTAAGCCCTGTTCTATCTTGTACCAACCTCATTGTCTCTGAAACACCTACTCCCACTACCCCAGTCCCTGTCACTTCATCTCATCGAGGGTCTTCCTCTCCGGTGCTGTTCCTATCTGTAGTTCCTGTATGTATGAGGACTCTGAGGTCCAGCCTTCCCACTGCTATTTAGCTTCTAGTGCTCAAAGAAAATACATGTCCTTAATTATTTTTCATAATGTTAGAGTAGTGTTTCTATAGGAATTTAACAGAAAGAAAATATGAAAGAGTCCATGTAGATTTTGAAAGCGATCCCATGGAAAGCCTCCTCCCAGTGGGCTGTGATACCATGTGCCGTGCCTTGTACTGTGTGGGGCTGTTGCCCTGGTTCTGACTCACAGTGGTCTGTGTGCAGCAGGGTGAGCGCTGCCCGGCCCTGCACCCTCCCCAGAGGCGCTGCTGCGTTTCTGCTCCTTGTCTGTTAGTGGCCATTGTGTCTGTCATCTGGTTGAGGGCCCTGCCCTTTTTCACTGACCCTGTACTTTACCACACTCTGTAATTTGCCCTTCAGTGTCAACTCACGGTATTGGTCTTCATTATTAAGAGCTCATTCCAGAAGTCAGCAAATGTTTATAGTTACTAAATGTTTCAGGCTTCGTAAGCCTAAACTGCTCACCTCTCTTAAGATACCGTGAAAGCAGCTGTAGTTGATATGTGGATCACTGGCTATAACTGTGTGCTGATAAAATTTTATTCACAAAAACAAGTATCAGGCCAGCCATATCTTCTTGACCCCTGAGCAGCCTGTGATTGGCTGGCACCCTGGAGATTGGCAGTTCAAAACCGTTCAAGCACTTCCCAGTGAGCTGCTTCCATAAAGATGACAAGCAGCAGGGTCTGACAGAGCTCAGCTCCACTCTGTAGCCCACGAGTTGGCCATGCTCAGGGGCCGGCTGCAGCGTTGTGCTGGGCTCTGCAGAGAAGGCAGTGCAGGATGCTGTCTCTGTCCACCTTCAGGGCACTGGCAGTCCAGTGAGACAGTCTGGCCAGTCCAGTTGTTCTGTGGGGTAAATAGAAGACAGTGTGGGAACAGGAGGTGCTCCAGCCCTGGGCTGGTTGTGCTGGGCCTTTTCAGAGAAACTGGATGTTTTAACAGAGTTAGAATATTCTGACGTTGATAAACATTCACTCTTCTTAATTAGATTTCTTTTTGTTTTGGAATGCATCATTTTATGTAAGCAAGTTTTATTACCTGTTTAGTGCAGATACATGAACAGCACTCATTCCCTGTTTTCCTTGTGCTTTCATTGCAAAAACACCTAGCAATTAAGAGACCTTAGTGTTAGTGCCATGAAGTCAATTCTGATGCACAGTGACCCTGTGTGACAAATAGAGCTGCCCAAAGGGTCATCTTCTTGATGGAAACATATGACCAGATCTTTTTTTCATGTGAAGTTGCTGTTGAATTTGAACCACTGACCTTTCAGTTAGGCGGCTAGCACGTAACTATTCTGCTCCCAGGGAATTGACCAATTTTAGGAATTGCCTTTCTAGTGCCTTTGGCCCATGCACTGTGAGGTTTCTTCAGTCCACCCCCTACTCCTTGCAGGAGTCCTCACGACCTCATTTAATAACATGATCAGGTTTTGGAAAGTGTTCATTTGTAATAATACGTTTCATTGCATTCAACTGAAATGAGCATCTCATTTATAAAAGATACTTACATATTCCCTCTCCCACTTGCTGACCATCAAAATTTTCTTTTCTCCATATAAAGCCCTTCCAGATTTCTGACCCCTTCAACATAGGGTGCCATTTCTGGCCAGCTTTTGCCCCTGTGGCCCTCTGAATGAACACACTCATGTTTTTTTAGAGTCTGCATAAATGTGTGTCAGCCTGACCACCCCACAGGGCTCTGGAATGTGTGAGAGGTTCCAGTGATTCTGTAGGTTTTAAATGACCATCTCTTCTTGCGATGTCGGGGTTACATGGGCTCGCAGACTCTGGAGGATCTGATGAAAGCTATGGGTACTGTCCCAGGAAAGTAATGTGTGTGCATCACTGTATCCACTCTGGAGAGATTAGTGGACTCCATAAACACTGTGTCCCCAGGCTTTAAAACCAGAGCTCCGCGGGTGTGCCGTCCACTATAGTAGCCAGCAGCCACATGGGGCCATTCACATTTAGTCTAGTTAAAGATAAGTTAGTTACATTTCAATAAAGTGACAAATTCAGTTACTCCGTTGTACTAGCTGCATGTCAAGTCACAGGTGGCTGGTGGCTTCCGGATCAGTCAGGGCAGATAGAGACCATTTTCATCATTGCAGGAAGGCAGTTCATTTGCTGAAGGCCATTCCTGTTAGTCACCGGGGCCTCAGATTTCACTTGTATGAAGTTCTTTGTGCCTTTGGGGCTAAGTCAGCCTCAGCAGTGATTTTCATTGAGGAAGTAAGAGGCTGAAGTTAATCAGGATAACAAACTGCTGCTTCGTCCTGTGCCAGCTTCTAGTTACAAGGGGTTTTATAGTTCTTTGAATTGTGTTTTAAAAATAATCATTCTGTGAATCATTTCTCCACTAGAAATAATGAGAAGAGCAGGAAAGAATCTTAGGACTTTATGTAAAATTCAAGCAAATGCTCTTATCTCTGACTCTCAGTTTCACAAGTTGTAGTGAATACTAAATAAGCTGGTAGATACATAAGCACTTTGCAAAAATAACCTTGTTTCATATTATCCTTTTATGAGCTCTGTTCCTCCCGTAGTTATCGAATAGTTTTAATGAAACATTTTTAAAAAGAAAGTCTCTTAATCTTTTTAAGCTTTAGTCTGCATTAGGTGTTTGGGCTTGCATTTGTCTGCTTGATTTCATTTTTGTTTCCGTTTTCCCCATCTTTTGTTTCTGTAGTCGCTAACCTATTTGTTAACATCAGCCAAAAAAGAGATTGAACTAATGTCAGAAGAGCTGAGGGGGCTGAAATCAGAGAAGCAGCTTCTTGCACAGGAGGGAAATGCTTTAAAGTTAGAGAAAGGTGCACTTTTATCCAAACTTACAGAGGTGGAGGCCAAAATCGCTTCACTTCAGGAAGATCAGCAGAATCTCTGGTCGGTAAATGAAACTCTTCACTTGGAAAAGGAAGGAATCTTAGAAGAAAAGCACAAGACTGACAAGCTTTATGAGCAGGAACGTCTTGATAAAGCAGCCCTGGCTGTTGAGAGAGAGAAATTGCTTAAGGAAGTCAGTCTTGCACAGGAAGAGCTCTTGAAGGTAAATATGGACAAGGAGTCTCTGCAGGCATCCCGAGCAGGCATGCAGACTCTGGTGGCGGAGCTGCGGTTCAGCCGAGAGACTGTGACGGCCGCGCTGGAGAAGAGCCGGGTGGAGAAAGGCCACCTGGAGGACCAGCTCAAGAGGCTCGCTGCCGAGAACCTGCTGTTGACCAAAGATAAGGATGAAATGATCCAGAAGCTTCAGAACTCTTACGAGGAGCTGGTTAAAGACCAGAAGGCCTTGGTCGACGAGATCGAAGAGCTCACCGCCGAGAAGAAGTCCGCTTTAGAGAAACAGTCCAATCTTGACACCACGTGCCTGGCCCTCAGGATCGAAAGGGATAACCTCCTGCAGAACAACAAAGACCTGCAGTGCGAGAAGGACGCGCTCCGTCAGAGTCACGAGAGGCTGACCGCCAGCCTCGAGGCCACGCTCCAGGCCAAAGAGCGGCTCAGCACAGAGGCCAGCGAGCTGCACGCCCAGCTGGACGATGCCGGCAAAGCCCTGAGGAAGGCTGAGCTGGAGACCCTGCAGCTTGAGGCCACCAACACGAGCCTCACAAAGCTCCTGGAAGAGATTAAGGCCAGCCGAGAGATCACAGACTCGGAGTGCATCCAGCTTCTCCATGAGAAGGAGACCCTGGCCTCGTCGGAGAGGAGGCTCGTGGCTGAGAAAGAAGAGCTGCTCGGGGAAAACAGGGTCCTCGCTGACAAACTCAGTGCGTGCTCCAAGGAGATGGTCCATCTCGAGGTGAGCCTCAGCGAGAAGATCACCTACCTGACATCTGAGAAGGAGATGGCGTGCCAGAAAGTGACCAAGCTCAAAAAGCAGCACGAGAGCCTCCTGAGGGAGAAATCCGTCCTGGAGAAGCAGCAGGGAGATCTGCTTGCGGAGAGAGAGAATTCTGTCAAGGCCCTTGGGGACCTGAAAAGGAAACTGGACCAAGAGTCTGCCAACAGGAGAATCGTTGTGCACGAGAAGATGAAACTGCTGGGTAATCTAGATGCCCTGAAGAAAGAGCTCCAAGAAAGGAAGAAGGAAAACCAGGAGCTGGTGGCCAGCAAGTGTGATCTCTCTCTCTTGCTCAAAGAAGCTCAGAATGCCAAGAAGAATCTAGAAAAAGAACACACCAGCATATTGCAAGCTAAGGAGAGCTTGGATGTTGAACTTAAGACTTGCTGCTCTGAAAAAACCCTTTTGCTAAGGAATGGCTTGGACCTGCAAGACGAGTGTCAGAAATTAAATGAGGATGTCCACGCGATGCAGCAGTCCTTGCTCTTGGAGAAGGAAGCCAGAGCGAAGGAAAACGAGGCATCCTTGCACGAGAAGAGCAAGCTCCACGGGAGAATCGAGCTCCTCGAGCGGGAGGTGCAGGAGCTCCAGGCTGAGAAGTTTGTGCTGATCCAGGAGAAGACCAAATGCGAGCAAAACGTCACAGAGATAATTAAGGAAAAGGAGCTCCTGAGCGAAGAAACTGCCCAGCTCGCGGCCAACATTGACACACTGAAAAGTGACTTTGCTGCCTTGTCCAAGTCCAAGCTGGAGCTGCAGGAGCTGCACAGCTGTCTCACCAAGATCCTGGAAGACCTCCGGCTCAACCACGAGGCGACCCTGGCCGAGCAGGCCAAGGTGGTGCGGGACCACCAGGACCTCCTGACGGAGAAGAAGGAGATGATGCTGGTGGCGGACGGGCTCCGGAAGGAGAAGGAGAAGCTGTCTGAGAGCTACTTCAGCCTGCAGAAAGAAATTAGCCAGTTGGCTAAAACCAACAGCCACATCTCAGCCAATCTCCTAGAATCTCAAAACGAAAACCGGATTTTGAGGAAAGACAAGAGCAAGCTTACCCTTAAGATTAGAGAGCTCGAGACGCTTCAGACGTTTACGGTAAAGTGAAAGGTTCAGGTATCGAGCGCTTGGTACTAACCTGGGCACTAACTGTAGTCTCGTAGCACGTTTGTCCTCGTGTCCACACACCTCAGTCCACCCAGCCAGTCACTTGCTTCTGTGTCTCAAGCTGTTCATCACATCATGAAAGGGCAGGTCTCTAGGAAATGTATGATTGACGTAGCCTCCATCTAGTTGAAAACTTTTTAACCGTGAGTGAAGAGGATTTATATTTTGATTGATAGAGACATTTCCCTGAAAGCAGGAGAAAGATGTGGCAGTTTGCTTCCATAGAGATCACAGCTTTGCGAACCCTGCAGGGCAGTTTCCGCTGTCCTCCCAGGCTGCTGGGAGCTCTCGCTGATTAATGGCAGTAAGTTTTAATGATTTTTAATGGAAGAGGCTGTGTAGTCTGTAAAGACTCCTGTCGAGATAGTGTTTTCTGTTTGCCTTTCACTGTGTTTATCCGTTTGGAGCGGAAAGATTCCCGTAAAGTCTCCATGACTGAGGATCCCCACTGTCCTACAGCCGATTCCGACTCAGCAACCATCCGTTGGTTTCTGAGGCTGTCAATCTTCATGGGAGGAAACTGCCCATACTTAATTCCCCTGACCAGCTGGTGGATTCGAACTGCCAACCTTTTGGTTAGCTGCGTAAACAGTACTCTCTACTCCACCAGGGCTCCTTTGCAGAAAATCTCTCCTATGCAGAAAATGCCCATAAACTTTATCAGACCACATGAAATTGTGAGCAAATATCTCCAAAGATTGAAAGCATTTGTGATTTTTGATCCTTGACAGCTCAAGTTCTCTCTGTATGTGGTAATTATTTTTATTCACATCCACGTTTATGTTTATTACTCACAATCTGTCATAGATTTTTTTCCATTCTTCTCACTCAACATTTGAGTTGTTTGCCATACTTTTCCAAATACATTTTGTTTGATAAATTATCGCTTTAAATTCTGAGAAGCTTCAAACCCCTACATTTGAAATAGCACGAATAGAACTTTGAGTTTACAGCAGTCCATTTTGTTAATAGACAGTGAGGGGAACGCTTCGTTACCTAGAGACTATCAGTCACCTGGGCACCTCTTCCTCGGGACTAGGTTGATGAGGGGACCCTACTAATCAGTGTAACCTGGAGTGGGAAGACTTAGGGCTGTCTGAAAAGGCACACAACAGGCTGATGGAGAAATGGCATGAGCGGGGACCCTCCAAGGCTTGGTCCTTGTTTCTTACGTGTCTTTGCGGCCTGTCTCACACTCCTGAGCAGACACTGCCTGAGGCTGCATGACAGCATAGTGGGGGCCCTCGCAGGCCTCGTGGGGGGCCTCTTCCTTTCTCACAGTCCTTTCTTGCGTTTAGGCTGCTCAAAGCACGGGAGACACCATGCAAATCATGGAGCAGATGAACAAGGAGAAGACTGAAACCCTGGCCTCCTTGGAAGACACCAAGCAGACAAATGAGAAACTCCAGAATGAAGTAATCAGATTTAAATGGCTTTTAATACAAAGAACAGCTTATGGGTTTCATGGGAGCGTTTGGTGGTTAACAGTGTCTCTTTTTGAAGCATGGCCTGTGCGGGTCTGGCATACGCCGTTTGCATGGTGGAGTCATGGTACTGTGTGATAACCCCATTCGTGGAGCACTTACTCAGGAGAAGTAGTCTGAAACCCTGAGAGGAGACTGTCCCAGCACAGCTTGCTGTGTGCGCTGCTCAGTGGTGGCAAAGAGAGAGGGAGTCCTGACTCGTATATCCATCCTTTCTCAGGAGTCACACTGTGGCCCCCACCTTTTCTCCAGCTTGCAGCCGCCACTGAATCCCTGCGTCAGCTCTGCCTTCCACGACCTGAGCCATGTGTCATCTGGACCTAATCCTTCGGAAGCTGGGGCACGTTTGTGGCCTCAGGAGGTTTTCATACTCTGTCCACAGCAGCATTTCTCACTTTCCCACCCACCTCTGATTTCTTCTGCTCTCCCCTCACAGGTCATACTGTCAGGGAGACTGGCGTGCCCCATAGGAGGGCTTGGCTGTGCCGATGCTGTTCTCTCAGCCCCTGATGACTCACGTCCTTTCCTCTTTTATTTATAAGTGGTCTGCACTGCGAGTGTTCCATATTGACGCTGTCACAAAGCCTCTTGATGTGCTCACTGTGGAGCACGTTACTAAAACGGAAACAGTACAGAGGAGAGTAGCATGGCCCCTGCACACGGGTGACACACAAATTTGTGAAACGTTCCATTTTGTTTAAAAAAAAGGCTCTTGACATCATACTGAACCAAGTACAAGGCTTGGGTGAAGCGGTTTTGGCTCATATGTTTTGTTTGTTGTTTTCTTGTTCTGAGACTGAAATATTAGGACGCCTAGTCAGGATGGTGATAACAAAAAGAGCAAGACGTTTCTCTAGGACTGCTGACTGGTGCACTGTGATGTGGTAAGAGTCTCATTAGCCATAGGAGACAACTCCACAGGCTCAGAAGCCAGCATACCTGGCGTGCACTCTGAAGTTAGTCTGCTTTGAGCCTGCTTCACGTTGGGAGCCTGCACACCTGGAAACGATCCACCTCTCAGAGCCTGTAACCTCACACCTCCACCTCCTCCAGCCTTGTGACTTCACATCTCCACCCTCTCCAGCCAGTGGTCTCACTCCTCCAGCCCCATGACCTCACACCTCCTCCCTCTCCAGAGTAGTGACCAACCTCACACCTATACCCCCTCCAGACTGGTGACCTCATATTTCCAGCCCTGTGACCTCATTCCTCCACCCTCTTCAGCCCCATGACTATACAACTCTGTCCTCTCCAGCCCTGTGACTTGACCTCAATTTCACACCTCCAGCCCTCTGACCTCCTCCCCCCTCCTGACTTCACACCTCTAGCCTCTGGTGACCCACCTCACACCTCCTCCCTTCCAGCCCCATGACCTCACACCTCTACCCTCCAGACCCACCAGTAATGTGTCTGGCTTTTCTGCTCAGGACCAGGCCTTGGCCAAAAGGTAGCCCTTAGCATACGAGAGTGCTGTCACTCTATATAGTTTTGTCCTTTGCATAGATTATCCATTTGCAACCTTGTGGAGCCACAGGAATGATATCTTCAGTTAAGACTGTGTCACCTTGATCCTAACACTGATAAACGCCATCTCCTAAATGACTCATCTGTAGAGAAGGAAGGAATTTCTTTCCTTTAAAGAATATGCTTTGCTGATATCAAGCTTTGATGATTCTTTTTTTTTTTAAAAAAGATGAATTTTACTTCAATAACAAGTTTATGAAAACACAAAAGAGTTGAGAGTTGTACACAGAGTAAGATATTTGACATATTGGCAGGTACAGGAAATACTGCAAAGTCAAAAGAGGTGATTGATTGCTTGTAACAGACTTGACCATTTGCTGTATCGAGGTGACTCCTTTTTGCTAGTGACTAATCTGGCATATCCCTTCAATAGAAGCTTTCATGAATGATTTGTCTGTCTGTCCATACCTGTCAGGACAAAATGAAATAATTTCATTGAGTTTTCTCTCTTGATCTTTAAGTTGGATACACTTAAAGAAAACAACCTGAAAAATGTGGAGGAGCTGAACAAATCAAAAGAACTTCTGACCGTAGAGAATAAAAAAATGGAAGAATTCAGGAAAGAAATGTAAGTTTTATCTCTTTGCTAATTATTTAGAAAAACTTTTGGAAAGTATATACTTTCAAAAAAATTCTGTTTCTCTTCCTCATGTGCTTTAAACTCCCCTGCATACCCCAGAAGAAATGAGTATAAACCACTGTTGAGTCAGGGTGAAAGTGGTGCTAGCTGGGAGGTCATGACATTTGAGATTTAAATGTCTTTGCAAAATAGAATCAGAGTTTTCAAATACTGTGTTTAAAGGTGGGAAGGCAAAGGCACTCTACTCATGAATATTTTGATGGCGGGTATTTTTATATATATGTATTTTTGTGTAGTAGAAATAGATTCAGGAAATAGTAGAGCATAGAGAGGGCAGAGTTATGTAAACTCCAGACACCGTCAGATACTTTGCAGGAACGAGTCATTGTGCCCAGATGCCCAAGGTCATAGGTCAGCGGGCTTAACAGTCACAAAGACAGTGCTCTCCCTCCTGCTTGGATAAGAAGCAGCAGGGGTCTTAAAAGCTTATGTGTGGCCACCACAATGCAATTATTGGTCTTTCACTGTTCAGAGCACAGAGTAGTAAAGAAAAGAATTAGTCCAGAGGACTAAGAGGCCACAGAACCTTAGCATCCACAGTTCTGAGATCAGAACAGCTGAATGGTACGTGGCTACTTCTGCCAGCTGGTCTCAAATGGATCACAAAGTGATCAGAGGCTGCAAATTGCACGGGAGGAGACTGCCCGTGTTTGTCCTGCAGACCAGCTGCTGGATTCAAACCACAAGCCTTCAAGTTGGCAGCACAGCTCCTTACCACAAGACCCCCAGAGCTCATCCTAGATTGAGGGAGAGAAAAATGTCAAAACAGACTCAAAGGCATAGACATGGGCAGCTTACTGATGGAGACTCCTGGAGCCCGTGAGACTATGGTCCTTACCACTCCTCAGACCTGGATCCGATCTCTCTCCCGTGGCTCAGCTACCGGCTAAGTGAGGCGGGCCTCTGAGGAGGAATACGCTCCTTGAGACGGTGAGCCAGTCGAGGTGGGAAGGGCAGCATTTGCCCTGGGATGAAGCTTGGAAACCAGGAGTGGCTGGGACCGGAGGATGATGGAAGCACAGGGAGGAAGCAGGAAGGGTGCTGTGCACAGTGGGGCCTGCAAACCACGCCCCACAATATCAGGTGACAATTGTTGAAGGGAAAACCAATTTGCTCTGAAAATTTTCGCTCAAGTCACCACTTTTTATTTCTATTATGAAAAACATGTAAGAGGCTACAAGGGGGTGAGGGTTTGAAGCGGAAGAATGGGTATGCCCTGCACAGTTCGGTGGGTACAGGCAAAGGAAATGAGGAAGATCCAGTAGGAACCAGAAGAGACAAGTTAATGGTAAGCATATTCCAATAGTGATTAATTTTTTTTAATTAAGAAATTGTTTTATTCACTTGTGGGTTTCTCATTTGGGAATGGGCACAGACTCTGGCTTCATGCTGAACAGGGGCGTTGATGTGAAGGGGGATGGGGAGCCCACTTGAACACCTTACTGGTGGTCCTGGCTTGAAGCTGCATGCTTTCTTGTCCAGTTAGAAGACACTTTGCTGATGTTTACTGCCCTCTGGACTGCAATGTGTTTGCCAAGTGTGTCCAGTGGGGGTGGTTGGCTGAACCCTGAGGTTCCATCCTCCTTCACTTCCTTAGGTGGCACTTATATTTCCCTTTTGTCTCTGGAACTGGGTTCAAAGCCCAGGCCTGGAGTAAAACTCAGTGTTAAGGTTACCTCTAGGAAAAGAAGCAAACCTAAGGAGAAACTTGTGAGTTACAAATAGAAGGGCTTTGGAGGTGTTACTTACAGGTACTGGGGGAGAAGGTGGAGGAAGGTGGCTTAGATAGAATTCTTTGTATACCCTAGGCAGTTTCCCCAGCAACCTGAAAGCTCTCCCCAGGGCCACAAAGAACACCCCGAGAGCTGAACGGCTCACCCTGGGGGGGACTGGGTGGCTTACCCTGTGGGCCAGGCGGCACACGCCCTACAGTGCCTCACTGAAGACCATGGCCAGGGACAGCACCCCCAGTTCCCGCACCACCACCATTGCCCCCTTCTCCTTCACCAGCTGGTCAGCCTGCAATTTGAAGTAGGCATCACTGCCCTACCCCTTTCCAAACGGAGAAGGGGCTCTGAGAGTGGTGAACAGACCCTCCCCAGGTTTAAACAGCTCTTGGTAGTAGTCAGGAAATCAAAAGATGTGGCATTTCAAGGAGATCTGCTGTCTTGGATATGTTGTAGTTGTTGAGTGTCATCAAGTCCTAGACAACTCATAGCAACCCTATAAATGAAAGACCTGAGCACTTGTACAACTTTCATCGTTTCCTTAAGTTCATAGAGTTTCTGGAGGCAAGCTGTTTCCGAAGTAGATGCCACTCCTGCTTGCAAGCCTGTTCCAGTTGACACTGTTCCACCAGACACTGTCCACCAGGGATAACCATTATTGCATCTGTCACTTGAGTGTCACAGCAACCATGAGTCACCTCTGTATAGCCAGTTGGCAGAGCAGTGATATATTACTTAGAAGAGTATTTAACCAAAAACAATCAAAATCGGGCCTGAGGGCCACAGATGAAAATCCCTGACCTTTGGTTGGTAGCATAGCTTTCTATCCAGTCGGCCCAGAGATCTCTCTCTGACTCCCAAGTCCGTGAACCACAGATCTCGTCCTCGTCCTCTCCTCCACCATCCTCACAATCTGAGACACGCTCGAGCCCATTGCTACAGACCCCTGATCAACCCAGTGTGGTGAGGATCTTCTCTGACCTGCCCAAGGAAATCCTTACTGACAGCGAGATGCTTTCCTTCACCTTCTGTGGCTCCACGGTGCCTCTGCCGCCGCTCCCCCGTTCCTGGCCTGGGGGTCCACGGCTCCCAGCATCCACAGCCTCGGCCGTGCAGGGGCTCTGTCATACCGGCCGCAGTGCCCACCGACCAGTCTAGGCTAGGGGACCTGTGGGCTCTGGCCACGGTGGCCCATGGGGTTGCGGCCACCTGAGCGTGGGCGCAGGCAGGTAGCAGGCAGAGGTGGGGCTCAACCATGTTCTTTGGAGAATCTTTGTCCTCTTGGCGTGGCGCTTCAGTGCACATTGATGACCAGCAGCCACTGCTTCGCCCTTTGGGTCTCTGTAAGCGCGTGGCCCGTTCCAGAGCAGCTTGCTGGACGTCCTGCTCCTCACGTTGCGTCTCTTGCCGCCCCCAGCTTGGTTCCGAGAATTTATTTTAGAATAAGTTTATTCTGCAGCAGTGTGCAGGCTCTGTCGTACCAGCTTCGGGGCCTGGCAGCACCCGCTGTCCATCCAATGAGGGGGTCCCTGGGGTCCAGCCACGGATGCCCCATGGAGCTGTGGCGGGGGTGTGGGCTTAGCCGTGGGACTCACCCACTCTTTTTTGGGGCTCTTTGTTCTCTTGATTTGAGCCTCGATCCATATTGAAGACCAGTAATCAACTGTTGAATTGTTCAGTTATCGATACTGTGAGGACTGTGGGGGCCCTGGGGGCCCGTTTCTATGCAGCTTACTGCTCCTGCAGCTCCTTACGTTGTTTCCTCCACCACCGTCATCCTCAAGTCACAGCTTTTAAAAAAGAAAGAAAAGACTGCATTTGTAAGTTCTTGATGAATGCAGTTACCATTTATTGATAAACCCCTCAAAATGAAATGAAAGAAAAGAAACTAGCAAATCACTTTGAGAGTTATTTGTAATGTTAGCTTTAAGAGTAAGGAAATGACCTAGCATGGATTATAGGTGGTTATGTTTCTTTTTTATGTATTTTTATTGGTCACCATACAGTGGTACATTGTGTTTTATACAGTTATTCGTATACATTGTATTTTTCATATTTACCATTGAGCAATGCTTATTATCTCCCCAGCTTTTCAAGTCCCCATTGAATCGTTTTTATTCCTTTATCCCCATCCACCAACTAAACTCTTATTATGCTAGTGATTTTTCCCTTTTCCTGCCCCCTTTTTCCTTTTCCCCTTCCCTTAAGTGGTTGGATTTTTTAAAAGCTCTTTGTAATTGAGGTTTAGGAAGGAACCCTGGTGGTCTAGTGGTAAGAAGACGCGCTGCAATCCTGACGGCACGTGGTTCACCCATACATACTGTTACTCCTCTGAAAGCCTGTGAGGGGTTAGCTCCGACTTGAGAGTCCACGACAACAGTGGCTGAGGCTTACACGTCAGTCAGCAGCCGGGTTTCAGCCACGTGATTGGCTCCTGCTGCTTTTCCGTAAGATTCTACTCAGTCCTCGTCATTCCATCTACTGACTGTGATGGTGACCTTGTCGATTTCACCTTGCTATTCTGTTCTGAGAACTGTTACCAGAGTGTTATCTGTGTGATATTAAAAATGTTATAGTATTGAAACTCACCTGAATATCAGATGCACCCGAGTTAAGAAAGAACCATTAGAAAGTTTGATATGGGCAGTGCCCAAACCAGAGCAGACTGGACTTGATGAGGAGAGAAGATGGTGAACCTGATTAGGGAGAGGGATTAAAAAACAGATTTGGTGCAGATGTAAGGTCTGGTACCGTAAAATCCTCTTACAAAGCAAGTTCCTTAGGGAAATCCACAAAGGTGATCTAAAAAGGGGGCTGGTAGACGGAGGCCAGCAGAAAGGAGAAGGAGAGGACAGAAAAGATGAGAGGATGAAGTAAACACTGCTGGCGTGCCAGAGGCTTGTCTGCACCGTGACCAGAGGCCTTGCTGTGACACCTCGTGACAAGCATAGCCCAGGGCATTAAGTGATCTTCTCCTCTGGGGAGCATGTGGCTGTAAGGGTGCTGTCAGGTTGGCTCCACCGCAGCGGGAGCCCAGGTACGACAGAAGCAAACCCTCGTCAGTGCTCTGCCGTCGTCACCATTGCTGCTGGGCCAAGGCCCGTTACTGCTGCCGCTGTGCCACACTCCGTCATGACAGGGGTCTTCTTTCTAGACACAGTTAAACCTTGAAGATCAGAGATGAATTGCATGCAGTCTGTGTCTTCCAAGAAGGAGAATAAGGCAGACAGAATCCAAGCACCAGTCCCAGACTCTGTCCCTCAGGAGCCATCCTCACTCTGCTTGGCCTGGAGCTGAGAGGAAGCTGGTTGTCTAGTTCCTCTGGATCTGTTCTCAACACGCTCCCGACTCGTGACTTTGAGCTCCTCACACGAGGAGAGGCGGCTCAGTCCATGCCGTTGTGATTGAGTCCCCGCGGTCTTGATGGGAAGGATCCTTTTCTCGATTAGGTTTAAGGCGCCCCAGTGGCACCGCAGTGGCACTGTGGTAAAAGAGACAGTCTGCTTCCTTAGAGACTTACATCCTTGGGTACCTTGGGGAGCACCTGTACGGTCACCAGAAGCTGGACTAGACAGAGTAACGACAATTTTAGATTGGATTTAACCAGTTCCTAATGATCATCATTTACACAGGCTGACGGTTGTGATAATGGCTGCTGTAGATGCTTCAACTTGTCACCTGCCCATGTATCACAGCTAGACAGTGGGTCACAGTGGGAGCCCAGGTGGCTTACTGTAAGGACGTGAGCTGCCAGTGCAGAGGCACGTGGTTCACATCCACCAGCTGTGGCGCCGGAGAAAGGTGAGCAGTCAGTCTCCTGTGCATTTTGCCACGGGGCGGTTCCAACCCGATGGTCTATAATGGCAACATGCTGGAAAAGCCAATTGAGTGAGGGCACTGCGAGTGTCTGTGCTTCCAGCTTGGCTTTCCCTCATGATCTGAGCCAGGCATGTTGAGGAACCAGTCTGGGACACTGAGTCACTGATCTGTTATGTTGCACAGACGGCTGCAGGGGAGGGTCTGAGCAGCAGGGCAGAGTCCCCCATCCACCCACCATCTCCCCACTCTACACCCTCAGGGTGTGGAAGGCCGGGGCCACAGTGCCAGGCAAGGGAGTACTGCTTACAAGTCCTTTTTATTTTTTTTTTTAAAGTTTGTTTTACTTGGTAAAACATTGAAAAAACATCCATTTTGCTATTTTTACGTGTTGGCGTTCAGCAGCATTCGTTCCATTTACCATGTTGCACCAGCTTCAGCTCTGTTCACACCACTACTTCCCTCAGACACGCTGGACCCAGTGCATAGTCACTCCCTGTGTCCTTTTCCTCTCACCGCTGGGATGCAAGAAGTCATGTGTAAGCCACACTGTCCACCTGATACTGAAGTGGTGTTACCCTTGGATATCCAAGGTCTTCACTCAGTCCTTCTGGAATTAAATATCTACCCCAGTGGGAGATTGGTTTCATCTCCACTAAAAGACAAATATTTTTTCCTTCTATTTAATAATAATTTAACTTGTTAATTATTAGACAAGACGCAAACCAAGCCAAACTCACTGCCATCAAGTTGGTTCCAGCTCCTTGGACTAAGATCTCCAAGACAAAACTCGCAGTGGGAGGAGTCAGCCTGTTTCTCCCCTAGAGCCACTGGTGGACTTGAGCTGCCAGAGAAACGTCTGGTGATTAGCAGTGTAACATGCTACAGGTTACGCCACCAGAGCTCCTAAGACTGACAGACGCTATCAGATTTTCAGTTGCTGGAGCTCTGGTGGCTTATTGGTAAAGAATTGTGCTGCCAACACAAAGGTGCACAGTTCAAATCCATCAGTTGCTCTGTGGGAGAAAGAGGGGCCGTCAACTCCCATGCTATTTCCTGCCTCTGAAAACCCACTGGAGGGTCAGCTATGATCAGCTGACTCGACATACAACAACATATGAATGCAAAAGATGGACAATGAATATAGATGACAAAAGAATTTGAACACAATATTGGTGAAAAGGATTGACTATGCCATGGGCTACCAGAACAGACAAAACTATCTTGGAAGCTTCTCTGAATCGATGGGATTCTAATTGGCTTATTTCCGTTAGTAAGTGTAGCCCTGGATGAGCTCACCAGTCTATGCCAGAAAATTTGGATGACAGCTGTCTGACCAGTGGATTGGAAGAGGCCCATATTTATTTCCATTCCCAAGAAGGATCATCCAACAGAATGTGGAAACTACTGGACATTATCATTACTATTACATGTAAGAAAACTGGTGCTGAAGATCATCCCAAAACTGGTAGATAGGGAATTACCAGAAGTCCAGGCAGGATTTAGGAGGCCGTGGCACCAGGAATATCATTGCTGATGTCAGATGGATCCTGGCTAAAAGTAAAGAATACCAGAAGATTGTTTGTTTGTGCTTTATTGACTATGCAGAGACTTCTGTGTGAATCATAACAAGCTATGGCTAACATCGAGACTCATGGGAATCCCTGAGCATTTCCTTGTACTCATGCAAAATCATTACCTGGACTAGGAGGCTGGCATGCCAAAGAGCAAAAGAGCACTGGTTTAAAAACAAGAAGGGAGCGTGCCAGGGTTGTGTTCTCTCTTCATATTGTTTGATCTGTATGCTCTGCAAACTATTCAAGAAGCTGGAATCTATGAAGAAGAACGTGGCGTCAAGATCAGAGGAAGACTCATCAGTAACCTGCATTATGCAGATGACTCAGCCTTGCTGGTTGAACGTGAGGAGGACTTGGAGGCATTTGTTGCAGAAGATCAAAGAATACAGCCTTCATTATGAATTGCATCTCAGTATCAAGAAAACAAAGATTCTTGCCGCTGGACCTGTTGTTGTTGTTGTTGGTTGTCACGGATGTCTCCAACTCTCAGTGGCCCTACGTGCAGTAGAAGGGAGATGCCAGCCCCGTGCTGTCACTGTCTCGGCTATGCTTAACCCACGTTGCAGCCACTCTCAGGCTACCTTGTTGATGGTATCAGAGTCGACATCACTAAAGTCGGTGAGCTGGCTTTTGACCCAGAAAATGAATCTTGGCCTTGATAAGTGTTTGTGGATATTTTGTCCATAATTAAAAACACATACCTGGCTTTTGAAGGACTTAATTACACAAGGCAAAAAAATTTATCTCGTTTTTCTTCACTGACCAAGTATTCTTCACTGACATCTATAAATAAATATTTCTATAAATAAACATATCTTTAAAAACCCTGATTTAATAGGTGGGGAAAATTTGTCTAGGAGGACTTAGCTCTGGTGGCTTAGTGGTAAAGAATTGTGCTGAAGATGCAAAAATGTCCAGTTCGAATCCACCAGTTGCTCTGTGAAAAGATGGCCATTCTTCTCCTGAGCAATTTGCTGCCTCTGAAAACCCACTGGAGGGTCAGCTATGGGTCGATTCCAGCTCACTGGTACACCTCTGCCACCACCACAGTCTCTTAAAGCTTCATGAGGTCGTGCAGGTTTGCATGGTATAGGGGGATGACAGTTTACAAAATAAAACCAATCAAACATAAAAGGCCGAATGCTGCTTCCCCTTTAAATAGTTGAAGATAAGGATAGCTGTGTTCATGCATCAACAGATGGTCAGTTACACTCTGGTGACTTGACTCAGGACTAACTGAGCCAGGCACGATGGCACACTGAGCAGCTTCAGCCAGCATGGACTCACCTAACAGAACCTTCAGTAGTAGACAAGAGAAAGCCAGGGGCCCGAGGGAGTACGTGGGGTATCACAGGTAAAGGGGGATTGAGGGTATATATATTTTACACAGGAGCTCTGGTAGCCCAGTGGTAAGAAGCTGTTCTGCAGGCCCAAAGGCACCTGGGTTGAGTCCACCAGTTGCTCTGCAGGAGTAGGGCCATATCCTCCCGTGCCGTTTTCTGCCTCTGAAGATCGGCTGCACCGTCAGCTGTGAGTCGGTTCTGACTCGGCAGCACACGACAGCGGCAGCGTATTTGACACGAGTTTTAATACTGGGGAGATACTTAACATACTTACCTGTCTGGATGCCTGCATGCCTTAACTATGTCTGCAGGGTGTAGGACAGTCTTACTTCCTTCTGTCAGAAATTCCAGCAGCAGAGAGAATACAGTGACAATGAAGCATCTGTCACAGAATTTAAGAACGGCATCTCCTGTGGGCATTTCACCTCCAGCAGTCCTAAAAATATGCTCAGATTCACGTCATCACTTGACTCCAGCAGAGGCTGGCAAATGGGGCCCATGGCGTTTTATTTTTGTCGTACCGAGCAGATTACAGATCTGTGCCGTTATAACTGAGTGGTGTGGCAGCAAATAAGTTCACCAGAGTTTCCGTGTCGTTACCTGAAGGAAATATCCCCGAAGGCGGCAGGGCTGTGCTGGCCCCTCCTTGGCCGCTGCTTTTGCGCTCTAATTCCTCCCGATTTGGGGAATGCGTACAGTAAGTGTGGGTGGTGGTAGGGCAGGCGCCGTGTTTATGCGATTTTTTTTAGAAAAATCATAATTGTAGGTGGTGGTCCTCGTTTTGAGAGACTGCCCCACCTGGGTGTGGCTCAGCCTCCAGCCCACTCTTCTGCCGTCCAGTCAGTCTGACCAACAGCTGACACATGAGTAGAACCCCACGTGGTTCCCAAGACTCTTTTTTGGGGGGAGCAGACTGCCACATCTTTCTCCCTGAGGGCATCTGGTGGGTTCAAACCACCAACCTTTTGGCTCACAGCTAGACGCTTTAACACTGTGCGCCACGCAGGCACACAGGTCCTCCCAGACTCCTGCTACTAGAGAGCCTGTCAGGCACGTGACCCAGATTTCCTTTCCCCTGTGCTGTGAAGCTGGTTGTCTCCCACAGTTTCCTTGCCTGTCTTGTTTCTATGGTAACGCTGCACTCCCTGTCCTTGCAGAGAAACCCTAAAGCAGGCAGCCGCGCAGAAGTCCCAGCAGCTCTCGGCGTTGCAGGAGGAGAACGTCCAACTTGCCAAGGAGCTGGGGCGGAGCAGGGACGAAGTCACAAGCCATCAGAAGGTCAGTGGGGCTCCCTCCGGCAGAGCCTCGAGCTCTCAGGCTGTGCTCTGAGGCTGCTGCCCACAGGCTCGGGCCTCCTGCTGGGATTTCAACTTACTTGTGTTCTGGTTCAAGTGAATGGACAGGTTCTTACACACACACACACACACACTTGCAAGAAAGTAGAAAATGACATCTTTATTTGCCAGTGCATTTGAACGTAAAGAGACAGTATCTGCACTACTGCTTGGATTTAAAAATTATTTGTTCTCCAAATTATTTTCCCCCTCTTCCACTGAAATTGGTTTTAGAGAAGTAGATTTGAAGGGTGTGAAATTGGTTTGAGGGTTGGCACGTATTTTTAAATAGAACTCTGCTCTTGAAAATAAAAGGGAAATGGGTTTGAAGCATTTTTCTCCCGGAGCTGTGTATGTAAGTGTGCGCCTGTGCTGTGAGGGGTGGGATGTATGTAACAAATGGAATTAAACAAGCAAAGCACAACCCGTTGACTTCTGAGTGTCAACTGCGGAGATTGCAGACTGTATATAAACATTAAAACACCACTGATTTTAAAGAAAGCTATAACCTGGATTTTTCTCCCTAACAATTGGATCAGAAGCTGTAAGGGAGCTTTGGTAGCGCAATCTGTAGGGAGTCTTGCTGCTAACTAGAAGTTGCCACCTCTCACCAAAAGTTGGCACCACTCTGGTGGTGGGAATCTGTCAGCGACTGCTCTGGAGATAGATGGACAGTCTCCTCCGTGGGGCTACGGCCTCTGAAAACCCCACTGGAGGCTCAGCCGGGAGTCGGCTCTCACTTGACAGCAGTGAGCGCTTTTGTTGTTGTTTGACAGTTGGATCAGTAGAGATTTTGTTAGTTTAACAGATCGAATCATACTGAGCAGTTTATTCAGTGACACGAGTTACATTTGCACAAGATCAAAATGTCTGACTGTTAGTAACGTTTGATTTGGGGGCAGCAGTTCAGAGTTAACGTTTTTAAAGAAACTCCTGACCTCTTGTTTACATGCCCAGGGAGAAGGAATCTCCCCAGGACACCTTGCAAATACTGCTTCACTCAGTGCACTTCAGGATGACAGCAGCCGGTGCCTGTTGCCCGTTGTCTTGAAAGTGCTCTTTGACGTAGTGATTGCACACTGAAGGACTACCTTCTGGCCGTCTAGTCCGTGCTTATGTCATGAAAGACATGCTGTGTTTTCTTCAGGTGTTTCTTTTTTTTTTTTTTTTTGTTTTTTTTTCTATAATTATATTTTATTAATTTTCATAAACATTTACAGAGATTTTGGGCTTCCACTCATTCATTGTTGCACTATTCTCTCTACCCTCCTCCCAGTTTGTTCTTGTCCAAATGCCACAGTGCTTGTCAAAGCCAGTTCTGATTAATCTTCTTTGTCAGTGTATCCTTTGCCATTCCCTATCACTCCTCCCTGAGAGAGACTTCACCCTGAGTCATAAGGAAAAGGGGACGGCGTATTCTCTTAGCTACTTCCTGCTGAAAAGGGACGCTGTGGGTTTCAGGGTGAAGATCTTCTCTCACTACTCTAAAGGGCCCCTTTGGCAGTAGGAAACACATAGACTATTATGGAGATTGATTTTGGAATTCAGATGCACTCTTATTGATTGTGCTTGGCTGTACATGTACATATCCTTCAAGATGTATCATGGGGGTGTTGCAACCTAGAAGACACAAATTTGACTAACAAGTTATAAGTACATGAGTCCAAAAATTATGGAAAGGTAAAAGAAAAGATTCTTTCATTGTTTTACAAACCCTCCCCCAGGTCCCCTCCACCATGCAGCCCTCGCTCTAGTCTCCTGTGATGACAGAAATACCCAGTTACATCTCTCTTTTAGACGGTTCTCTCCCTCCTCTGCTTCAGTGCAGTATACATTATTGAACCCATCTTACTCAGTGTCTCCCTAACCCCAAGGACAGTCCCATTCTACAACAGTGGCATCATGTAATATTTGTCCTTTTGTGACTGGGATATTTCACTCAGCATAATGTTCTCCAGAGTCAACCATTTTGAATAATATTGCATGAGTTCCTTGTTTTTTAATGCAGCATAGTATTCCATTGTGCGAATATACCACAGCTTCTCTAGCCATTCGTTTGTTGATGGGCACTTCGGTTGTTTCCAACTCCTTGCTATTGTGAACAAAGCTGCAATAAACATGGGTGTGCATATATCTGCTTGGATGTCAGCTATGGTCTCTTCAGGGTATATTCCCAGTAGTGGAATTGCTGGGTCAAATGGTATCCCTATTTGCAACTTTTTGAGAAAGCGCCATACTGCTTTCCACAGGGGTTGCACCATTTTACACTCCCACCAACAGTGAATCAGGGTTCCAGTTTCTCCACAACCTCGCCAGCATTTGTTGCTTGCTGTTCTGTTAAATTTTGCTATTTTGACTGGGGTGAAATGATATCTCATAGTTGTTTTAATTTGCATCTCTCTTAGGGCTAGGGATTTTGAGCATTTCTTCATGTGTTTGTTAGCCATTCTTCAGGTGTTTCTAGTGATAATAAATCTGGAAGCGCTCACTGCTGACTCACATAGGGACCCTGCTTCCTGTGTCCTGGGCCATAAACCTATGAACAGATTGCTTCATCTTTATCCCAAGGAGTGGCTAGTAGATTCAAACCACCTTTTAGTCAACCCAACACGTAACTCCCTAGACCACTGACTGCCGCCGACTTCTGTAATATTTTAAATTATGACTTTGTCGCTTTCTGTTACTGAGGCTCTTGATCAGCTGTGTTCAGAAATAAGGTACAGAAATAGTGTTCAGCAGAAAATGGAATTCTGGTTTTGTGTATATGAAGTATACACAGAAGAAATACACTAACTGAACATTTTCTACATGTACAATTCAATGTGTTGATTATATTCAGAGTATTTGATTCTTCTCATCCAGCTTTTTTTGGCATTGTTCATTATTGTATTTTTAGTGAAAGTTTAAACAAGTAAGTTAGGTTCCATTGTAAGCTATATCTGTACAGTTTGTTCAGTGACCTGCGTTCCCCTTTTCACAAAGAGTCAGCCTTCTCTTGAATGGCATTCTTGTTGTTCTGTTCCCAGTACACTAGCTTCCCTGCACCCTTTGGCTCTGTTCTTTACAGTAATCGTTGACCTTTTGGTCCTGGAGATAGTTCTTTGGTAGAATACTGTTCTTTCATGTGTCTCTCTGTTACTTAGATAAAAGGTGACCTGGGGATCATATTGATTGGGGTTTTAAGAGCATCTTACAGTGAGAATCTCACAAATTCCTTCAGTCTCAGGTGGTCCAGTAAGTCTTAGATTTTTAAGAATTTGAGTTTTGTTCTGCTTTTTTCCCCTTTCTATCAAAGTTGATCTATCATGACAGAAATTTTTTCCCCCAAATAAATTATTTCAATTGTATCATTAAAGACATAATTAATGTACCTTTCTAAACTAAGAGTAGACTGATAGACGTGAATCCTGATAACATCTCCAGGGCCCCGAGATGACGTATCTGCACCCTTTCTTCCGAGCACCACTCAGCAGCTCACTGAACGTGTCTGTGCCGAGTACTTTACCTCTGTCTCCTCGACTCATCCCAGCGCACTCCTGAGAGCGGAGATAGTGGTTCCCGGAGGTGAGGAAGCTGAGCGAGCTGGGCAGTAGTGTAGCCCCACCTGCCGTCATTCTTGGTTAGCAGCACCTGATAACTAAAGGACGTTCTCAGTGCATGATGGGCAAAAGCAGGACAGGGTCACGCAAGGTCAAGATGCGTGGGAATTGGCCATAGCATTATTCTTCTCTCACAGAGGATGTTAGAAGTCATCGTGATGTGAATTCTGCAGACATCACCATGTTTGGTAGGCATTTTTGAAATGTCTGATTTGTCATTCTCAACCTTTGCCTGTTCCACCTTACATTTGCCAATTGCACTGAGCTGTCACTATGGGAACAATGCTGATTTCCACCCTGGCTATTTGCAGAATGAGCTTATAGTGTGCTTCTAGAAATTGGACAGCACTCAGATGACTCAGTCGCTGGATTTCATCAACAGCTTTTCCTGACGGAGTTTACAGCCACGCACTAGACAGAGACCAGGGCTGTCATCTAAGCTGATCCATGAATAATTGCTTACCTTTTATATAAGGCCGAATTCTCAGGCATAAATATGTAGACAGGAAACACTATCCTTATCTTGTCATACTTATTTTAGAAAAAGAAAATCAACTCTGATGATTTTAAATCTGGCCCCAGGGGACTCAATAGGGTTGACCATAGGATATGGATCCTATAATACTTGAGTGTAGTCTTTCAGTTGTTTAAAAAACAAACAAAAAAAAAGTGTCCAGGAGCGGCAGCCCGAAAAACCAGTCACCTTCATGCCCCAAACTTTATCGTTGATGTCCAAGGAGAGGGTAGAGCCAGGGTTTGGCTCCTGTTGGCATGGTGTCCCCAGGGACCTCTTAGAGCGTCTCACTTCACGTTCCCGCTCCCTGTGCCCAGGCCAGTATGGAGAAAATGAAGAGCTGAGTGGGCAGCCTAGAGGAAGGCTCACGGCAGTTTGTGCATCTATTGATAGGAGCCATCAAGTTGGTGCCGGTTTGAGGGTCAGCCATGTGTCCAACAAAACGAAATACTGCCCGGTCCTGTGACGGCCTCACAGCCTCACCGCTGCTGCTGTTGGAGCTTGTTGTTTCAGCCTCTGGGCCAGTTCACCTCGGAGGGTCTGCTTTTTCACTGACCCGCTGTTTGCCAAGCGTGCCGCCCTCCCCCCCAGGACTGGCTTCTCTTATGTATAACGGGTCTGAAGTCAGTGGAGGGCAGGCTTGCTGCCTTCAAGTCTCAGGGGTCCCTGTGACTGCAGTTCTTCCAGGCAGGTCGGTCTGTTCTTCAGGCAGTCCACTCTGTATCCGGCATTCTCAGGCAGCATCCTAATTCACGTGCGTAACGTCTAATCCAGGCTGCTTTCTTCACTGCCAATGACTAAGAAACCCTTATCCACCTTCTCTTAATTTTA